AGAAATCTTTTCCTAATACATCTAACCTAAGTCTTCTTTACTCCATGAATATGAAATTTTCATTTTTGTTCTTTAGAGTCTAGTAGGTAGCCAGAGTATCCCTTTTAGAATTGAACAATATTGTCCTGTTCTGCTGATCAGCAGAAATCTAAAGGTAGCTTAATATAGACTCCTACTGTTGGGGGAAAAAAGATGGTTCTAAGATTGTGCTCCTTAACAACCTCTGCCCATTGTTAGGATTTCTGACAGTTCAACAGTTTAAATAATCTTGTTGGTACTCAGAGCAAGATTACCCAGGTAATAGAATCTGAACAAAACAAATGAAAGTGTTCTGATGACCGGGAATGTTGGGGCAGAGGCTTTCAATTTTTGTCTTGTATGGCAATGAGCATACACTTCCATATCATCTGACTGCTAGCAAATGGACTAACTACATCCTTTTGGGGAAATATCTTGAAAGCATACAAAGGACCTCCAACCCTGCATCAGATTCAGTGCCTGCCTGTCCCATTTTAATGTCTTCTTTTTGATGTTTGCTAAATTGAGTGGCTTTTCAACACTAGAAGGTTCACCAGTTTAAATTGATTTAGAAATCAATCTGGTTAAACTGGTGTAAACCCCTAATATAAATGCACTGAAACTGGTTTAACCCTTGCTTAATTGATTTAGCTTGTAAAATTGATAAGCCAGGGTTAAACCAGTTTGAGTTCATCAATGTTGATTTCTAAACTGACTTAAATTTAAACGTGCAATTTTCAAGTATATACAAGCCCTAAAGCAGGTTAAATGCTAGGCAATGACAATCCTGAACTTTCATTCTCCTGTTGCATAATGCCCTAATTATCCTTTGACTTCCTAAAGAAATTCTGACTTAGCCTGAATACGTTTCATCAGCTTGAGACACATGTTAACAAATTGATTTTACCAATCACAATATACCATTTTTAAGTACCTGAAGTAAAAAGATTAATTGGTTGTTGGGGATTAAATATTTTTTTCAGTGACTTGTTACGAATTACACCTAGTAGGACACGCATACAACTGCTGCGAATTATACCTTGTAGGACACGCACACAAATGCTACGAATTACACCTGGTAGGACACGCACACCAATGCTGCCAATTATACCTGATAGGTCACACACAGTTCGAATCTAGGCTGAGGCACAGAAACAAAGTCCACAACTGCAGAGTTCCCAAAAGACACTAAGTTTATTACACTCGAGCGTGGTTCCCCCTGCTAGCCGGGGGGGACCCTGAATACAGATTATACAAAGGTTATATACTTTTTAGCAAAGCATGTTGCCCTCGTGCATCGGAAACCTTAGCCAATAAACAAACCCTTATCTACCACCTATCCCTGCTTGGTGCATTCCTCGTGCTATACCAGTATGTTAATTACACAGTATGGTCCTAAAGCCATGCATCAGTAACTTTTATTATCAGAATGGAAGGCCTCACATCAAGGCCAAGAGACAGGGAGTTAGAGACTGACAAAAACCAGATACTGGGAGTCAAGGCAGGCTGGAGACGAGGAGGATTTTCACAGGGATTCACAAAAAGAAAAGGAGTACTTGTGGCACCTTAGAGACTAACCAATTTATTTGAGCATGAGCTTTCGTGAGCTACAGCTCACTTCCGATGAAGTGAGCTGTAGCTCACGAAAGCTCATGCTCAAATAAATTGGTTAGTCTCTAAGGTGCCATAAGTACTCCTTTTCTTTTTGCGAATACAGACTAACACGGCTGTTACTCTGAAACACAGGGATTCAGTATCTAAGGATCACTCCTCCTGGTGTATGATGTGCTGGCATTTAAACAATGGTGGGCCCCAGACCAAAATGGAGTCACGTGCTAACTTTTCCTTAACAGACTTCAGATAAATCATGTGTATCTGCAAAGGGACGTTTGGAAAATTTGTCACAATTCAAGTCATAGAAGCTGGCATTGCATTAATTCCAAGTCAGGCAAAACCAAGATAGTGCTATTATTGTTAGTAGGCTAGATAAAGGACTTATGTCTGCATCTTAAAAAAAAATTAAAAGAACACACTATATAACAGAGTGATAGGTAGTTCTGGGTAAAAGCCATTACAGCTATGTATCATTTGTGCTTATATGGTTTACCCTGAAACATCCCACTATTTCAGTATTGGCACTTGATCAAGTCGAGTATTTGTTGCATATTAGATATTAGACCTGTAAATGGAACATGCTCTAAAGATAATAGTTCATAATGCAGTAAACTCTGTAGGAAATTGTTGCTGGGACAGTGTGAAGAAGTCTCCTGAGAGAATCAAAATTAAAATTGTAGCTAGCATTCACATTCCCTTTCAGAACTTTCTTCATTTGTTGAAGAGTTTTTAATTTCTGGTTTATTTACAATTGTACCCTGCATATCTTTCAGCAGCTTCAGGAATAGTTCTACTTGTGGCACCTTAGAGACTAACCAATTTATTTGAGCATGAGCTTTCGTGAGCTACAGCTCACTTCATCAGATGTATACCGTGGAAACATACATCTGATGAAGTGAGCTGTAGCTCACGAAAGCTCATGCTCAAATAAATTGGTTAGTCTCTAAGGTGCCACAAGTACTCCTTTTCTTTTTGCGAATACAGACTAACACGGCTGTTCCTCTGAAACCAGGAATAGTTCTGTATCTCGTAATGTAAATCTATGTGGCTTCTTACATTAAGACATTTCTGCAGATTCTTCATTCCATAGCCATGAATCTTCCACTGCTTTGAAGTTGGAAAGGTTTTCTGGTCAAGATATTTTTCCTTATCAGTTTTGTTGATTTGCTTTACTTTAAATTGGTCAGTACTTCAAGGGCCACGCTCCTCTTAAACATCTCTTTAGAGAGAGGGTGCCTGTGCTACAAGCCAATTAGTTCACATGTGGTCTATTTTTTAAAAAAAAATTACCTTTCTTGTTATAACAATGCCTTTTATGAAGTCATAGTGCACTTGAAATCCCTTTCAAATTAATGAACAGCTCTTCCTTTCCCTTATAATGTATGTGATTTAGGAAACCAGTATTGTGAAACAGCTGAAGTGAAGGAACTTATAAGCTTCTAGTTATTAAGGATAAACATTTTTCTGGCTTCAAAGACTTTCTCAATAGAGAGATTTTAAAACTGGGAGTTCTGGAGATCTCTTGGCTTCTCTTTTTGGTTGAATGATAAAGCATCCAACTTGGTATTTATCTTACACTTGCCAGATTCAGCCTCCCCCTGGAGCTTCAAGACCAGCTGTTCATCTTTTAGCATTTGGAGCCTTTTTTCAGTCTCTTTGGAGATACTGTTGTAAGCATTTTTTATCCTTTCAACTCACAAAAGCATTTTCTAAGGGATGCAGCTTTAGGTTTTATTTTTTTTTCTTTTCTTTTCTATTACTTTTCTTCCTTTTATCCATATTCCATCCCATACCTAATACCTATTAGAATAGTTTGTGATCTCAGCTTGGCCTTTGTATTATGACTCTGGTTTAATGTTGAATATCTTTACTGAATTTCTCAATGCTAATCATATGCTATATTTGTTTGTTACAAGAGGTAAATAAGATTTTCTGAAATCCAAATATGTAATGATTAGAGAATTACACCTGCATATGATTAAGCATTTTGTAGCTTTTAAAAATGTATTCTCTTTAATCCCTAAAGATATCAAGATATTTTACAAACTGATTTAGGCCCTGATCCTGCAATGAGTGCATGGACAGAGGGACTCAATACAGGCCCAGACAAACCAGGACCCTGACTGCAACTGGATATTAATGGGCAGAACCTCACTGACTTTGCATAGTCTCTGCATAGGCAAGAGAATATGGTATCCATTATTATATCCGTATGTATTGCCTATCTTTAACTTTAGACTGCTCCCATTAAGTAAAAAACATTCTTTCATGTGACATTTTAAATCTCTAATATACTTCTCAGACAATTAACAATAAGGCTGGCCTCTGTATAAAAATAGTTAATCCAACACCTACATGCCTACCTAACACACAACTGCTTAAGACAGGAGTAGAAGAATGCTTTAGTAATTTGAAGTCACACGGGAGACTTTAAGGTAAGCAGAATGTAATTTGGCCAGAACACTAACATTTGCCCTTAAACCACTTTTCAAAAATTGCAGTGTTTTAAACCAGATTTCAGCCTGGCCAGGAGCGCTCCTCTACAGCTGCTAGGCTGCATCATGCATTGCAGATTATGTGCGGAACGATCTACAAAATGGCAGTGGTACCATCTTTGGAAAAAGCAGCTTTCCCCCATTGCTTTATCAAGGAGCTGATAGGCGATGCCCCCCCCCCCCCCGGCCGTCACCCGCCCTTGCATGTACAAGGCACAATGTACAGCACTGGGTCCACGTTGGTACGGCAACAATAACCCCGTGTCTCGATGCTCGGCCTGCGGCATGTCCGCTCCCGGCCGGGTACGTGGCCTGCCCGAACGGGGGGCTCATTTTCGCTGCTGTTTCCCTCCTCGGGGCTGGAGCTCAGGCAGCGGGGAAGCCAGGTGCGTTGCTCTGGGCAGTCGCTCTCACGCATGGTCCATCTCCCGCGTGCTCCGCTCGCTAGCGCGCTCAGGCTGACCCCGGCAGCCCTCACCGCCCTCGGCACCCGCGGCCAGCAGAGCCGGGCGAATCGATCACTCCGCGCTCGGCTCATCGTGCCTGTGGCGGAGGGCTGGCTGGCTGGCTGGAGAGCGGTGATGGATGGAGAGTGCCTGGCCCTGAGCGGAGGTGAGTGAGGGAGCGGGGGGCCGCAACGGGGCGCCGCTCCGGCTCCGGCTCCGGCTCCGGCTCCCCTGGGTCGGTTCCTGCCAGCGTTGTGCTTGTGCCCCCCCAGCTGCGCTGGGCAGCGGGGTTGGCACAGGGTCTCCGGCCTGCCAACGCCGCACCCAGAGCGCTGCGCGGTGACGTCACGGCACGAGGGCCTTGTGTCACTCGCGGGCAGACGCCGTTCCTGGGGGCGGGGCAGACGCCGTTCCTGGGGGCGGGGCGGGCTTTCGCAGGGGCTGATGCGGCCTCGCTGACTCGTTCGCTGCCCGGGGGTTTCACTGCCCCTTCTGCGCTCGCCCCTAGGGGGCACCGGCGAGTCGCCTCCGCGGCCCTGCCCGGGCTCAGGGGCCAGGAGGGAGCAAAGATTTTCCGGAAACCCGCCGTGGCCTGGCCCCGGGAATGGGACGGAGGCGCTGAGGCCTGGAGGGTCTCGCCGCCCTGCTGGTCTAGTAAGGCCCGGGGCTCGAGTCTGTCCCGCCCTCTCGCTGTGAGAGCGTGGTTAGCGCTTTGGGCACCGTTTAATCCCCACCCCCCGTCAGCCCTTTGCCCCCGTTGTTGTGGGCTTTGCGGTACCAGCAAGGGCCGGGGAGCGGGACGGAAAACGGCCCGGGGTAGCCTCGGAATCTGTTTTAACCCGTTTTTTAAAAAGGGGTTTGGTTTTTAAATGGAAGGCGCTGCCTTTAGGTGATGATTGTACCAAAAAGCGAGCAAGAACCACCAGAAAAGATCAGCTGCGCGTTCTTGCACGAAAGGAAGAGGCGTGCTTGGGGCTGAGAGCAGGCTCAGGAAGGGGGTAGCGTGTAGGACAGTGGAGCCTTGTGGTGCTCACTGCAGGCTGTATTTGAGACTCTGCCAGAGCAGCCGTGTGTATATGTGTAGCTAGGGCTTGCATGTTGTGTAGATTTAGGAAACCTTATTTGGGCCCCACTGTAATTCCTTCATAGTATGTTTGTGTAAAGAGCAAAAGACACAACAGAAGGAATCAGGAGGCCTGGGTTGAACCCTTTGCCCCTGACTCTGTGTGAGTAGGCATGTTATTTAAATGAATGCTGAAATTAAATGTCCCATATTTTCTTTGTATAAAGAAGCTGATGTACAGCTAATAGTCTACATCATTAACACTGCTTCCATAATTAAAACAGTCAAATGCAAACGTTTTTTAACAAGCACTCCCCTACAATGTTTGACTATAAATAAAGTGAAACTAATTGTATTGATATTTGTTGCACAAGCTGATGTGCACACAAGAATCAAGGTCCTGATTCTGCAAACACACATGCATTGAAATCAGTGGAGCTACACAGGGTAATAAAGTTAAGCGTGTGGATAAGTCCTTTCAGGATTGGTGCCTAAGCCTGAATAATGGGTTTTTAAAGTTCTTTCATTTGTAATAACCTGTAGTGCTGTTAATAACAGGTAAAGAATCTTGTTTGCTTACAACATAGGATTTTTTTTAATGTTGACAGTGGCCCTTCCACTGCTTTATGCCTCATTTTCTTCATTTGTCGAGCAGAGATGACACCCATCTTACAAAAGCATTGTGTAATGCCTTACTGATGCTAAAGTTATATTTAGAATGTCGGTCACAACTGCACACAGCTTAGGGGTGAAGGAACTGAAATGTTCAGATTTGGGTGCAGGTCTTCAGAATTTAGAGCCAGGCTGGTTCTACATGAGAGGATGGGAGGGAGCCAGCTTCTCTATATCAGCCTTATTTTTCACTCCCCTGTTGTTTGTCTCTTCTCAGCTGTGTGAAGATTTCTCAAACACATTGATGCAACTTTGTGGCTTCCCAAAATGGAAAAGTTTGGTGTAGTTGTGCTTGGAAGCCAGGTTGACAAGGTGCACTCCAAGAGCAAAATATAGCTGTTGGTGGAGTCCGTAGGGTGCAGCTATACTCATCCTCTGACAGTTTTTTAGGATATTGGTGAGCACTAATCCCCAAATATATATGTAAATTAAGGGCCAAATCCTCAGAGTTGCTGAGCATTTGCAGCTGAAGTGAGTGGGAGTTAAAGATGCTCATCAGGTGCTTATTGCCTCATGATTTGGGCATACTTGCAGCCTAAAGCTCTTGATGTGTCTGGGTCAGAGTTCAGACACTCCTGTTCAAAGCAGATCTTGAAATGTTAATTGAGGGAAGAGTTCTGTCTAACTACTTGACTGCTCCTGAGTATTATAAAAATGTTTAGTTAGACAGAACTGCATTGCTCAACATGCTAGGTTATGTCCACTGATGGTGCACAGTGAAACATTAATGGGACAGGATTTAGTAATAGCACAGCAGGCTGAGGAGTAAATTGTTCCAGACCTGTACAGTCTTTTTCTTATCTGCACTATTCACATTGGTGATGTTTGGCGGTTAATAGATTTTCTGTTCAGTAGACTCAGAATTGTTCTTAAGCTTCATATATTTTCTTGCAGGTAGGGCAGAAGAGACAGGTAAATAACACGAAGCCAAGAAAACTCCTCTTTTTAATGATTTCAGAATAAGAAAATATCACTGAAATGAAGCAGCCCGTGCAGTGGATGTGCTTTTTAATCCCATGATGTCAGAAGCCACATCTCCAGAAAATAAAAGACCCCGGAGAAGCCTGTCCCTCAGTAAAAACAAGGAAAAGAATGAAAACAAAAAAAAGAATGAAGCAGAAGTTAAAGGAGCACCACCCATACCTTCAACTTCTTCCTCTATCCTTTCATTTTTTAACAACACTCCCCCAGCCAAAGTCACCTGCCCTATGTGCGGGCAGATGGTGCCAAGGTATGGGATCAACAAGCACATAGATGAAATGTGTCAGAAGAACCATGGGGATGGTGAAATGATTCTGGCTGATAGAGGACTTGACTGTTTTTTGAATCGGGGCCCATCAGGTATACCTTTGAACACTAGTTCCAGCCCATACTTTGCAAAGGAAGCTTCGACTCCAGAGAAAAATGAGAGCATCTTTGAAAGCAACTTGTTGAAAATGAGAGGAGGTGCAGGACAGCAGATTAGTCCTTACTTTAAGAAGAATAATGCTCCTGTGTACGATGTTCAGAATGAGCCAAGGGTGCAAATGATTAAAAGTATCTCTTTGGGAAACTTGTCATCTAAACTGTCCAGAAGGCACCGTATCCAGAGTAGACAACTAATAGAAGAAAACAAGAGGAATTCTTCATCTCCAGCTGTTCACAGTGTATGTGACAATGCTGCAGAATGGGGTGATGGAGAGACTTGTGCTGGGGATGGCTCTCAGAAAGAGAATCACTTTGTTCTGGTAGGATTACAAAAGCAACATGTCCCAAAAGACAGTTTAACAAAAGAACTTGAAAGTCAGGGAGAAACACGAGAAAGTGATAAAGAGACTCTTGTGGGTTCTGCTCATGGGTTTGTATCCTCCGTTAGCATTGTTGCCAGGGATCTAGTGTCTGCTGCAGGGAACACTGAGAAACACAGTTGTTCTGAAGGCATGGTGCCTAATCTTGGCAAACATACAACACATCCAGCAAGTTATAATAAAGTAGAGAGATCCGATGGTTCAGAAGCCAAAACTCAGTTCTGTGTTAAGGATATTCCTCCTTCAAGGACACAAGTGATGTGTGAGAGCCATACAGAAAACTGTCTAGTGACAGATAATACAGGAACACTTCCTGTGGAAGTTCATGAAGACTTAAGGAATGAGATGATTTATCATACTTTCTCAGAACCTATGCAAGAGGTGGATTTTCAGAGTCCTGCCAGTGACATTTTAGACAAAATAAGTGGTGCACTTGGTTCTGCGACTGACTCTTTTGGTCACCCATATTATCTCCAGAATTTCCTGATGGTCCTGCAAATGGTCTTGGAGAATCATGATGATCGGAGACTCTTTGATGAGCAAGACACCAGCACTATTGCAAAGTTCTACCAATTGTCAGGTATATTTTACTTTCGTTGATTTATTGTTGTGTTGAGTGTCCACGAGGGACTTTGCTATTGCTACTGATTTTACATGGAAGACGCTCCGTTGCCATGGTGATAGGCAACAGTATAAAACCCTAAGGTAGATAGTGTGAGGGGGAATCCTCTCCTTCCCCCCCTCCCAAAAATCCAAACAAAAAAGAGAAATAGCAATAACAGTGATTAAACCTTGATTAATAATCCTTATATGGGAGAGACAAGGTGGGTGAGGTAAAAGGTCTTATTGAACCAACTTCTTTGTGGTTTCTGTATGGGTGAAACTGGACAGTCAGTATGCTCTCAAATGAGCTCTCGCAGAAAAATGATAAAAGACAAAAACACCACATCATCTGTGGGCAGATACTTCTCATAAAGCAATTACTGCATATCTGACCTATCAGCCTTTGTCCCCAAGGGAAACCTGTACAACACCTTCAAAAGATGAGCCTGGGAACTTAAATTCATAACTCTGCTAGATACTAAAAATCATGAGATGCTGATTTTGTGGCTCATTACAACAATTTGTAACCTACTAACTCTCCTTTGTCCTATGACTGCAGAGATGTTAATTGCCCACTTCATTTTAAGTGGTTTCTTGCAACTTCTGTTAACTTCTTATGCTTAACCATCTGTACGACCTTTTATTTAGTTGTAACACTCTGGTTACCTTTCCCAGACATGAGGAAGAACTGTGTGAAGCTCAAAAGTTTGTCTCTTCCAACAACAGAAGTTGGTCCAATAAAAGATATTACCTCACCCACTTTGCCTTTTTCATATCATAGGACCAGCATGGCTATAACAACATTACAAACAATTTATATGGGAAAGTAATTTTCATTTTGACCCAGTGAAATTTGTATGAAATAAAGATAGATTTAATAATGTATTCTTTCAGAATTCCGTAGCATCGTGTTTAAAACATTGTTTTGAAGTGAAAAGCAATCTTACTCTGGTTTCTGTAAAATATATAAAAGTTTTGCTAGTAACTGATAAGAACATGTTGTTATGATATTTTGTAAACCCTGTAGAAATATTTTGAATTCTGGAGTGTAAAACCCTCCACATTTTGGAAGTTTGGATATGACCTATACTGCAGCATAGTCTCCTCTCTAATCAGCATATGGGGTTGGTGAATATCACAAGCACTGGGATAAAAGGAGAGCATCACCCAGATCAAGGCTATCAACCTTCAATCCTGCACTCCTGAATTATACTGTATATGTAGAACTTTCTTTAGTCTGAGTGGCTGGACAGTATGAGGGCAGCTGAGGTCTACATGGAATTCTCTGGTCTTATGGGATGCTCCATTTTCTGTCCACCTGCAGTGGTCATAATCTCAGTGTCCTCCCACTCTTAGTTGCACTTGTGTTTAGGTCCAAGAAATCTATCAGAATGGTGGCAGTCTGCAGTGAGGGCAATCTACAACAGTTCCATATAATTCGTAAACTACTGGCTTACAGACTGGAGGAAGACATCCTAGCAACTCTTAACCTCCTTGCAAGTAGAGGTAATTAGCATTCTGGTGCCTGTTTAGATGAGAGTAACAACTAACAGTAACAAAGATGTGAGTAGTGGTGATTATTGACATCAGTAGCACCCCTTTTCCTCCAGAAACTTCAGACTGGAATTTATGGTGTTCCCATTGCTCCCCATCTGTTTTTTACTGTTGCAGTTCTCTTCTGAGGACACTGCTAAAAGTGAAGCTGGCACCTGGTCATGTCTACGGATAACTATTGAGGAATACCAAATTTCCAAAGTGCTTAAGTTTTGTTGTATTTTTGCGAGATCCCAGTGTAATGTTTGGCTCCCTCACCATGCACATTAGGTTTGTGTGCATAATAGGTATGTGCTCATGCAACATAGTGTGTGCTTGAGCTGAGTGCACACAAGTGCCAGGCACTTAGTTACATATAGACTTTGTTGAAAATCTGGGCCTGAAAGCATTGAACTGGCTGCACTAATTAATTAATTTTGTTAACTCATTTTGGATTAACTAATGGGCAAAATGCTTCATTATAATTCAGAAGGGGAATATTTCCCCTAATGGAACCTTTGTATGTTCAGTTCTTTTGCATTGAGATCTACAGGTAATTATTCACATTCATTTTCTTTTTGTGCTAGTTTAAAAATCTCTCGTGATTTTTTTTGTTTCACTTTTCAAATTAAAATGGAAGAAAGCTGGCTGAATAAATGTTGTTAATGGACCATGACTCCAAAGCTGTGACTTCTTTGTCCATTTTAATATTTTTCTAAAAGTCCCAAATGATTTTAAACTCTGGTGCATGACACAATAGTAATAAAAAGAAATCTATGCAGATCCAGAATTTTTGGATAGGTATCCTCTGACGTGTCATCACAGAAAGTAGGAAGCTTTCATTGAATAATTTATTAATGCTCATATCTTGGACTGAAGGTTAATATTACACAGTTTTTGTTTCACTTGTTTGACATCACGAAGTGCTTAATACCAAACTGGAGTTGGATGACAGAATATGACAATGTTGGTTCGTGCTTGTTAGGATGAGTAGTCTTGTGGCTGCAGTTCATATACATACCTAGTTTATAAGGTTTGTTTGTTACTTAAAGATCTGAATCTATACATACTGCTATAGACAATGCAGTAATTCAATACAGTTCTTTTTGCCATGAGAGGAAGAGGGCAACATTTTTATAATTAATATGTAAAATTTTAAAGAATCCATAAATGAATGGAGAAGACACATAATGGGAATGTAAGAAGTGAACAACAGATATGGAGATACTTTAGACCACGGATCGGCAACCTTTGGTACGTGGTCACCAGGGAAAGCCCCTGGCGGGCCGGGCTGGTTTGTTTACCTGCCGCATCCACAATTTTGGCTGATCGCAGCTCCCACTGGCACGTCCCTTGGCCCGTGCCGCTTCTCGCAGCCCCCATTGGCCTGGGATGGCGAACCGTGGCCAGTGGGAACCGTGATCAGCCGAACCTATAGACGCGGCAGGTAAACAAACAGGCCTAGCCTTCCAGGGGCTTTCCCTGGCGGGCTGCGTGCCAAAGGTTGCTGATCCCTGCTTTAGACAATTTGCTGTTTGAGAACTCTCTCCTGTCTCATTTAAACGTGTATGTGGTGACAGCTTGAAGATATGGTAAATAAGTACAATATAAACACACACACAAAAAATGGGATTGATGTTCCTATCTGATGTTACAAGTTGTATAAATAAAGTTGTAGGGTGAAAATCAAATTAGTTACTGTAGAAACTCTGGAATCAACCCCCAGAATAGGTCATAGCAGTTCCACTTGATCTTTTATGTAGAGGTAACCTTCTTGTCTTTTGCAGTGTGTGATCTAAACAGTTTTTCCCCAATAGCTCAGGGAACATAGAATAAGTGTTACCGCAAAGCAATGCTGATAAATTATCTGTTGTGCCTCAGCATCATAGTAAAATGTGATCTCCTTTTCTCTAGGAGATGGAGTATGATGACTCACTGAGAAGTGTTGCTGTGAGGAAGTGACTGGATAGCATTAAAACGACAGATTGTACAGAAGCTATTATAAAATTAGCGAGTCTTCAGTTTAATATATTTTGTCCCATATTTGTTAAAAGTTCAGACAAACTCATTGCCTGTTCCCTATTATTAGATCTTGCTGCAAAAGCCTGTGTTATCATTCAAACAAATACAGGGTGGATAAAAATCAATGCTTTTTTTTTAATTGGATTTTTTTAGTTTATATTAAATATATTTTTCTTAAAAAATAAACCTATGTTTCAGCCTTACTATAATCTATTAAAATAATTTAAATTAAATAAAAAAAGTAAGTAGTACCCTTTACTGGTGAAGTTTTAAAGAAAGTTAAACCACTGAACTGCTGGAAGTCACTGGTTATGCATCCAAAACCAGTTTGTTGAAGTGCTAAACCAGCAGTAATCTTTTTGTAGGTGCAGAGAGAATATTTTCTTCATTTCAGTTTATCCAATTAGTTCTGTTCAATGTTAATTCAAAATTGAGAAACTGATTGTGAGTTGAAAATACAGGAAAGCTTGCTTTTCTCTTCCAATCCAACTAGGTATGAGAGGATAAGACTTACTAGTTCTAAACCTTGAAGGACATGGCAGCCAGAAACAATACATTCAATTCGCTAACTAGGGATAATACTACTTTTGTGTATTAAATCAGTTAGTTTTAAATTCAAAACATGTTTTTATAACTTTTTTTTTTCTGGTATATCCAGCACATTTAAGGTATTTTTATTTAAATAATAATAATTTTTTAAAAGCTGGTTTTGTGCCTTTTTAATTGCATTTTGCCACAAATCACAATTTAAAAAAATAATAATCTAGTAAATAAGAAATGCCTCATTCACCATTTTCTGATGTAATAAAAATTTAAAAATTAGGAATCTGAATAAATGTATGTTAATATTATATAATTGCTTATATTATTTATATAATAAATAAAGGTGTATAGATATACATATCCTCTTAGCAAAAAGTACTACTAAATTTAGTGTAAAGACTATATTTTGTAGCAAATCACCATGGTTTTTAGGAAAATAACTTAAAAGTACAAATGGAAAACAAGACTGAATTTATTATTTAGATGAAAGTTTCCTGCTTGCTGATTTTAAATGATAATTAAAATTGGTAATTTACATTGCTTTCATTTAAATCAGTCCACTCTGGTATAAAATCATGCTGCTTCAGTAGAACTTTATATCGGAAAAGACAGTTTTTTTGTTGATATATACACATGTAATGCATTAGTTAAGCTATTTGCATAGTATGTATACTTCACTAATTCATTAGTTTTTGCTAAAATGCATATCTGATTTCTTCAGCTGATGGTTTTTGATATATGGAAGTTTATTAGTACAAGTTGATAGAACGAGTTAGGACAGTATTGCTCCATCTCAGTAATAATTTATTTTTACAGGGTATGGTTGCTATCTGTTCTGCAGTGAGCTTTTTTAGCTGCAGTGATTATTATGCAGGAGAATTAATATATTTTTAAAGGTAAAATTGCTTTTAAAGCAACTTTTCATTCCCCCCTCTTCTGTCCCAGCCTTTACAAAAAAGAAGTGTTTTATGTTGGAAATAGGTTGTTAACTATCCATTTGTTTATGCAAAGGATGCAAAAACTCAAATGTTCTAAAGAAAAGCTCATATATTGGTTAGGTACTTCCTGGTTCTAAATGCTCATCATTAAGCAGTTTTCTGTAGCGTTGTTAGCTTTGCTAAATGTTGAGCAGCTGTGAGTTGTTCTTGAGTTCTAAAATAATGTAGTAGCAGTTAATGTAAAGGTGCGTAAAGTTTAGTTTAAGCCTAAACTCTGTAGGCTTAAAACATGTCTTACTTTGTTTGGAGAATCTTGGCAAGGAATGTTTTCTATATTTTACATAACATTTTTAAAAAATCTGTATCTCTATTGGAAAAATTAAATACCATTTTGGTAACACTCCTTAATGCACTATATGAGCTCCTCATTCTAGTCTGCAGCCAAATGACATGTGCCAGTCCTGGAGTAACACTTGTTCCTACAGACGTCACTGGGTACTAATGCACAGTCAGAGAACTAAACAAAGCAAATATGATTGCCATTTTTGCTTCATTAAAAATGCAGTGGAAATAATCACCATGTAATCACTTTCCTCAGGCTTTTTGCATCTTTTCCCAATCATATTTTCACTTAAAGCAAGGTTGTTAGTTTCAGCTGAAATCTGAAACTGCTTTTCATGTGAGTGAAGCCATTGTATTAACGATATCAATAACAACAGAAAAAACCTACCCCCAAGGTTATGTGCTACAGAATATGAGGCTTGAGTAGAAGTATTAGCACAGGACCTTTGAGATAAAGCCATATTTCCACTACAGTTACTGAATTTCAGGTTTAGTTTTGTCATTTTCCATGGGGGGTAAGAGTGGGTAGGATATTGGTGTGTGAGTCCTCATTCTCTCTCTCTCTGTCTCTGATTTGCAAAGAATCAAAGACACTTCAAAGAAACTGTAATACCACTGGGGAAGTTACAACTTGGGCCTTTGAATATAATTCTCCCAGTGGAATGATCCATCTAATTTATTGAAAGACACATCAGACAAAAAAAAGTCTGGAGGAGAGAAGTAAGTTTACAGCCAAAAGAAAAGTTTAATAAGCATGAATAAGTCAGCTGCCATTTTCTAATTACATCAGAACTGATGGTGTTTAAATTAATATGTCTGCTTTTATTATTGATCGGTTATAGTTGAGCAGGAACAGACAGTGGTAAACAAGTTAGAAGCTCATCAGGAGTCAGAGCACTATGTGCATGCAGAAAGATGCTGAAAGTAAACGCATTTTAAATCCACCAACCAGACAACCTTCTATTAATGAGTTTTTTTTAATATCCACATTAAATTATGAGCAATGTTTTTGTTTAATTTTTGCATATCTTTCATCTTAGTGAAAAATAAATTAATTTCCTGTTTTGGTGTGCCTATATAATCACACTGCTGCACTGTTAGATTCTGCCAACACATATGAGTAACTTTACAGTGTGAAAGCGGCAGAGAGTCCTGTGGCACCTTATAGACTAGCAGACATATTGGAGCATAAGCTTTTGTGGGTGAATACCCACTTCGTCTGATGCTTTTACAGATCCAGATTAACACAGCTACCTCTCTGATACTTTACATGTGTGAGTAGTTCGAAAGTGGGACTGTTTGTATGTAGAGTTACTTCCCTTTTAGTAAGTGTGTGTTAGCATCAAGTTGTTAAAATATAAGATCCTTGCAGCAGGGACCTGGTCTTATATTTGCAAAACACCTTGTACACCTATGGCATATAAATGGATAGTCATTGATCGTATTTCCTTTTGTTTGTTTGGGTCTTTCACACAGCAACAGAGGAAAGAACTTTTGTTAAATAGGAAAATTTGAAATGCTGTGACATTTTTTCTGGCTTTACAATAAAATTTTCAGGCAGCAGGTGCTATACCTGAAGCGACTTCTGTTTTTTTTTAATGTGTAGATTTCAAATTGACTATATCTTTCAAGGGCAGGTTAATGCCAGCATTATGTGGTTTAACTTGCATTCTTCAATATCTGTAGAGTCAGGAGCTATTTGGATAAATATGTGATTTTTCCTATTTTTCAGGAAAACCAAAGATCCAAATGCAAAATGTCATAGTTAAAGATGTCAGATGGATTTTTGACACTTCTTGGAAGGCTTTTGTTCTGTGCTAGAGTAAATGGATTCAAATAAGATGTATTTTTACTGGTGACAGATCTAGCTCTGATATTTTTCATGCTGAAAGAAAAGCAAACCCTATTTTATTTGACCAGCCATCTGAAAATTTGAAACATAAGAATTATTTCTCAGTAGGAATAAATGTAAAACCTACTTGAAGATACATTACAAAATTTTTCACGTGTGAATGGAACTTGCACATTAAGCCAAAAATAGGATATTCCTTCTGTAAAGTCTGATCCAAAAAACCTATTGAAGTCAATAGGGATGTTTCCATTAACTTCCGTGGGTTTTGGATAAGGCTACAGTACTAATCCTATACACTAGCCTCATCTTGGTTAAGAAAGTGATTAGAAAACTAGATCAGGCTTGGACAGCCAGAATGAGGCACAATGTAGCCAGAAGTGTGGTTCTACTCTGAAGTGTCTGTAAAAATGGCACATTCTTACTCAAAAGACCTAGTCCCTGGGTATATTTGGAGTCATCTCTGTTTAAATTAGTGGCGGTGGTGCAGATGATGCCCTGAATTAACTCTGAGGGAAAAACTTGGCTCTAAAACAATACTCTATTCTTGCTAGTTGCCCCAGGATCTGAGTATGTGCAAGGTTTGGTTAATTTCCAGCATCAATGTAATTCTGTTTATCCTTGTGCCACACAGTCAAAGAGAGTCTCATCTGTATAATCCTGTTGAAACCATGGGATTTCATGAGTCTAACTGAGGGCATAATTCGCTGTCAGAAGAGCTGCACAGGTGTAATTGGCATAATTTGGCCTCTAAAATGCTAGTGTTGATACATGAGAAGGAAAGAAACAAGTTGGACTTTCTGATTCCAGGTAGAATTTAGCAGAGTTAGCAGTTAAAAATATCTTTTTCCTGATCAGATCAGATTAGCTTTGACCTAGAGTCATTGAGTTGCTAACAGAAAAGGAGTACTTGTGGCACCTTAGAGACTAACCAATTTATTTGAGCAGAAGCTTTCGTGAGCTACAGCTCACTTCATCGGATGCATCCGATGAAGTGAGCTGTAGCTCACGAAAGTTTATGCTCAAATAAATTGGTTAGTCTCTAAGGTGCCACAAGTACTCCTTTTCTTTTTGCGAATACAGACTAACACGGCTGTTACTCTGAAACCTGAGTTGCTATCGTATGACCTTAAAATGGCCTCTTTTCAGACCAGAATTGCAATTTAAGTTGAGACCTCTTAAATATGTATGGCTTAATCAGTGTCTGTGTTTAGCAAAAATAAGGATCTGAAGACCCCATTCAGTGCTGTGACTGTGGTATAAATACATAGATCTGCAACTAGTGATCAGCAAAAAATCAAAAATATACATATTGTTGCCAAAGCACAAAGGTCCATTGAAAATCCTCTGTGTACTCCTTTTCTTCAGAACAAGAGACTATCTTCAGTCTAACATTACTTAATCAGTTTTGAAGAGAAAGAATGTAAGCATCTGGGCTATTTAAGTTTGAATAGCGAAGTTGCCATTTAATTTTTGCCAGAATCATTGTGAGGTTAGCACTACATGTGCACAATATATTTTTAACAACCATTCCATCAGTTTTGCAAGCCCATATACAAAGCTCTCTGCTTGGCATGTTATTTCAAAGGCTAAAATCTGATACTGTTCTTTACTGAATCGACTTGTAAAATATCTTAAAGCTGCCTGTCTTCTTTTAATAGACAAGATGCATCAGAGTGTTAGTTTTGTAGGTATATGTATATAATGCAATTTTTTATGCTTTAATGATTTTTTTTCTCTTTCCCCATTTAAATACAAACTACAGCTCGTGGACAGAAGTTATATGTGAGACTTTTTCAACGCAAGCTGAATTGGATAAAAATTAACAAAATAGAATATGCGGAGATTAGTGCAGATTTGTTGCCAGTAATTGGAGAATTGGTTGAAGCAGGCTTTCTGCAAACAGGTATGGGAAATGACTGCATATTATTAGAATTAAATTCTCTTCTCTTGCTGCTGTCGCCAGTCTGTGGGTTTGTCTACACTAAGAAATTAGGTTGATTTTATAGAAGTTGATTTTTAGAAATTGATTTTATAAAGTCGATTGTGTATGTCCCCACTAAGTGCATTAAGTTGGCGGAGTGTGTCCTCAATACCGTGGCCAGCATCGACTTAAGGAGCAGTGTACTGTGGGTAGCTATCCCACAGTTCCTGCAGTTTCCACTGCCCATTGGAATTCTGGGTTAAGCTCGCAATGCCCGATGGGGCAAAAACATTGTCGAGGGTGGTTTTGAGTACATGTTGGCAGTCGTGTGCTCCCTCGCCCCCCCCCCCCCCGAAAGCAACAGCAGACAATCGTTTCGCACCAAGATGAGAGCTGTCCTGCCAGTTGAGAAGCTAGTGGCGATAGCCCTGTGGAAGCTTGCAACGCCAGACAGCTACCGGTCAGTTGGGAATGAATTTGGAGTGGGCAAGTCTACTGTGGGGACTGCTGTGATCCAAGTATCTGATGCAATCATTGACTTTCTGCTATCAAGGGTAGTGACTCTGGGAAATGTGCAGGTTATACTGGATGGTTTTGCCGTAGTGGGGTTCCCTAACTGTAGTGGAGCGATAGACGGAACACATATCCATATCTTGGCACCGGACCACCTTACCAACCAGTACATAAACCGCAAGGAGTACTTCTCAATGGTGCTGCAAGCACTGGTGGATCACAAGGGACATTTCACCGACATCAACATGGGATGGCCGGGAAAGGTTCATAACGCTCGCATCTTTAGGAACTCCGGGCTGTTCGAGCAGTTGCAAGAAGGGACTTACTTCCCAGACCAGAAAATTACCGTTGGGGATGTTGAAATGCCAGTAGTTATCCTTGGGGACTCAACCTACCCCTTGCTCTCATGGCTCATGAAGCCATACACGGGCAGCCTGGACAGTAGTAAGAAGCAGTTCAACTATAGGCTGAGCAAGTGCAGAATGGTGGTAGAATGTGCCTTTGGACATTTAAAAGCTCGCTGGTGCTGTTTGCTGACTAGGTTAGACCGCAGCTCAACCAACATTCCCATTGTTATTGCTGCTTGCTGTGTGCTCCATAATATCTGAGAGAGTAAGGGGGAGACGTTTATGGCGGGGTGGGAGGTTGAGGCAAATCGCCTGGCGTCCAATTTTGAGCAGCCAGGCAGCAGGGCGATTAGAAGAGCACAGCTAGGCATGGTGTGCATCAGAGAGGCTTTGAAAACCAGTTTCATGACTGGCCAGGCTACAGTGCAACAGTTGTGTGTGTTTCTCCTTGCTCCAAACCCGCCCCCTTTGTTGATTTTAATTCCTTGTAAGCCAGCCACCCTCCCCCCTTCAATCACAGCTGGCAAAGAAAATAAAGTAACTATTGTTTTGAAACCATGCATTCTTTCTTTCTTAAAAAAAAAAGTGAGATAACTGACAAGGTAGCCTGGGTGGGGTAGGGTGTGGGAGGAGGGAAGGACAAGGCCACATTGCTTATTGTAGCCACACTACAAATCAAAACTGTTTGGCAGCCTTCTGTTGCTTGGGCCATCCGCTGGAGTGGAGAGGCTGGGTTACCGGAGCCTTCCCCCCCCACCCCCCCATGTTCTTGGGCGTCTGGGTGAGGAGGATATGGAACTTGGGGAGGAGGGCAGGTCGTTATACAATGGATGCAGCAGGGGTCTGTGCTTTTGTTGGCTTTCCTGCAGCTCCAACAGACGTTTCATCATGTCCGTTTGCTCCCCCATTAGCCTCAGCATCGCCTTCTGCCCCTGCTCTTCGCGCTAACTTGATGCTTTCCTGGCCTCTGCCACTGAATGCCTCCATGCATTAAGCTGTGCCCTATCAGTGTGGGAGGACTGCATGAGCTTGGAAAACATGTCATTGCAAGTGCAGTCTTTTTCGCCTTCTAATCTGCGATAACCTCAGGGACGGAGATGATAGGGGGAGCATAGAAACATTTGCACCTGGGGGGAGATAAAAAGGGAGAGTAAAATTAAGATACGTTTCTGAGAACAAAAGGAAGACTCTTTCATAGTGAATCAAGCAATTCACAGCAGGCAGCTCATGTGCTTTAGGTACAGGGTTACATTTTGCCTTTTATATTGGCTGGGCAGAAGAACTCGGTTTCTAGGCAGCCATGGTAAGCCTTTTGGTACACGGGGTTGGCTTCTTACGCCTTCATAATGTGGGAATGGTTTCAAACTGCAGCGCCATCCTTTCCCATAGCAAGCAATGCCGGATGGGTTTCACATTTAAAAGGAGGGGCTGCGGTTTTCGGGTGGATGTGCAGGATACACCTCCCCCCACCCCATCGCGTGGCTATTCTCTGGGATGATCCCTTCAACCCTCCCCCCACTGCTTGGCTGTTCTCTGGGATGATCCTTTTTAGCCAAGCGCAAACGACCCAACATGAACGGAGTCCGTTTACTGTTCCCTTACAAAAATTCCCCTATTTGAACCAGGTGGCCATGAATGATATCACTCTCCTGAGGCTAACACAGAAAGATAAAGACCAAATGTTGCTTGAATGCGACCAAAACCCAGGACCATTCGCTGCCATGCTTTGTGCTGCAATGATTCCAGACTACTTGCTACTGGCTTGGTGTGGTAAAGTGTCCTACCGTGGAGGACAAAATAAGACAACCCTCCCCAGAAACCTTCTGCAAAGGCTTTCAGAGTACCTCCAGGAGAGCTTCATGGAGATGTCCGTGGAGGATTCCCGCTCCAGCCCCAGACATGTTAACAGACTATTCCAGTAGCTGTACTGGCTGTGAATGCATCCCAATTCTTCAGAGCAAATCAAACATTAAACACTATGGCTTTTAAACTCTGTACTGTAGTTAAAAATGTGCACTTACCAGAGCTGCCTTCTCCGGCTTCAGGGTCAGGGATCCCACCTTGGGAGGGTATTGGCTCCAGGGTGATGAAAAGGTCCTGGCTGCCGGGGGGAATGGATTCACTGCTTGCCTGCTGCACGTTCTCCTCCTCCTCCACAAAATCTTTCTCCCTGTTGCGTGAGACTCCCCACTTTCAGGTGTCCACGGACAGTGGTGGGGTAGTGGTAGGGTCCCCCCAGAATGCCATGCAGCTGATCATAGAAGCGGCATGTAAGGGGCTCTGACCTGGAGTGACCTTTTGCCTCCTTTGTCTTTTGGCAGGCTTGCCAGAGCTCCTTAACTTTCATGCGGCACTGCTGTTTGGCTCTGTTGTAGCGTCTCTCGACCATGCCCTGTGCGATTTTTGGCATAATATATTAGCATTTCTTCTTTTTGATTGGAGTTTGGCCTGCACAGATTCTTCTCCCCATACAACAGTCAGATCCAGTGTCTCCCTTTCTGTCCATGCCCGAGCTCGTTTGCGATTCTGGGGGGACTGCCTGGTAACCTATGCTGCTGAGCTCGCCACACTGACCAAACAGGAAATGAAATTCATAATTTCCCAGGGCTTTTCCTGTGTACCTAGTGCATCAGAGTTCAAAGTGCTGCCCAGAGCACATTGGAGCACTCTGAGATAGCTCCTGGAGGCGAATACCGTCAAATTACATCTGCGCTACTCCAAATTCGATCCAGCAAGGTCGATTTTAGCGCTACTCCCCTTGTCGGGGAGGAGTACAGAAATAGATTTTAAGAGCCCTTTAGGTCGACGGAATGGGGTTGGTTGTGTAGACATATTCATTTTAAAATCGACCTAACGCGGCTAAATTCGACCTAACCCTGTAGTGTAGACCAGGGCTGTGTCTTGGGGTGGCCAATTAAGGGAGTCAGGTTGAGGACTATTGGTTGAGCAATTCAGGCAGATTGGCAGCCTGCTCCATTAAGTTAATAATAGAAGTTAGTAGTGCAAATCAGTTGAAGAGGGTGAGGGTTTTTTTGGACGGAGCAGGCTAGATTTCAGTTGTTAGGACAAGAAGATAAAAAGTAATTTATTTGCCTGTACCGTCAGTTTGATTCAGATTTAACTGAACCAGATTTCTGTACACTCATGTTTTGTTTTGAAATTGCTATGGAATTTTCCTGATCATTACACTTTTGTTAATTATTAATTATTAATCTTCATAATAAATTAAAGAAATTTCAAACTATATTTGGAAAGTTAGTTTAAATTACTAGTCCATAGCTATTTCATATGTAGGTAGGACTTTCTACTATCCAGAAACTCTCTGTACTTTAAAGTATCATATGCATTCAAAATATTAAATAAGTATTTTTCTGTGTATCTGCAGAATCTGAATTACAAGACCTTTCTGAGGGGCTGGACTTGCTTTCTGCTCCTGAGCTAAAAACATTAGCAAAGACGTTTCACCTGAAAAACCCAAATGGTCAGAAACAGCAACTGGTGGAGGACTTTCTCAGACTGGCAAAACAACGTTCGATCTTCAGCAAGAATCAGGCTGGTATTGGGGCAGTGATTTTGAAAAGGTACCATTTGGGCTTTTTATGTAAAATCCAATAGTTAATTCTGCAGATGAATATAAATTATTATTGAGAAGACCATGAGTTTTAGATGCATTTTGGAAATGAAAAACATTGTATATGCATTGTGAATTAAAGCATAAAGAAGTGTAGTAGGTAACATCTGAAAAGCATTAAGGTTTTAGTCATAATTTTAGTAACAGTGCTATAACATGGGTCAAATACAAAATTAAAAGGGCAAACAGAGAAGGGTCTTTAGTGCGTCAGCCTTTTTCTTCTCTTTAGACTTGGGCTTGGATGGCTGTGCTTTAGTTTTGGCAAAACCTCAGTCGCTTGATTTTTGCATTTCAAAGGACAAAACCATAGTCTATAGTAGTATGGAGTATTTCCAAGTTTCCCCAGGTCACTTATGACATTATTTTAGCTGAATTTGTTTTCCCTTTGTAAATAATTCTTGCTATGTTGTGGGACTACTTGAGAGTAATAAAATAAAGCTTCTGCAAACTATGGTTCAGCAGCATAAATCTGAGCTATTGCCAGCAGGAGAGTGAGTTTGTGTGTGGCGGGGGGGGGGGGTGAGAAGGCCCACCTTGATTATCATGCACATTGTAGAGAGAGTGGTCGCTTTGGATGAGCTATTACCAGCAGGAGAGTGAGTTTGTGTGTGTGGTTTTTGGAGGGGGGGGGTGAGAAAACCTGGATTTGTGCTGGAAATGGCCCACCTTGATTATCATACACATTTTAAAGAGAGTGGTCACTTTGGATGGGCTATTACCAGCAGGAGAGTGAGTTTGGGGGGGGCGGGGGGTGAGAAAACCTGGATTTGTGCTGGAAATGGCCCAACTTGATGATCACTTTAGATAAGCTATTACCAGCAGGAGAGTGGGGTGGGTGGAGGTATTGTTTCATGGTCTCTGTATATATAATGTCTTCTGCAGTTTCCACAGTATGCATCCGATGAAGTGAGCTGTAGCTCACGAAAGCTCATGCTCAAATAAATTGGTTAGTCTCTAAGGTGCCACAAGTACTCCTTTTCTTTTTACAAATCTGAATGTGTTTACTGGGCCTAATCCTTCTCCTCTTACTGCTGGAACTGCATCTGTGAGATTCCTTGTGTAAGGCAAATACAGTTTGGTCGGTTATAAGAGTATGTTGTTAGCCATCTGCTAGCATTGCCCCAAATATGTATTGGAGCAAGCAGCAAAAGAGCCCCTCAAGTTGTCTAAAATAAGGTTAGACTCATGAAGCAAAACATATTGCAGAATACAGGTAGATGCACAAAATCAACAAGTCCTGAGTCTGCGGGAGCGGCTTTTCCTGGTTCCTGCCTATAAATGATCAGACCAGAGTCACCTGTTTTCGTTTGCTGGCCTGGCTAGAGTGGGGGTGGGTGGGTGGCGAGTAGTAACCACTTTCCTTAAGATGACGGGCCTTGTGGCTTGGGGCAGTAGTACCTTTTTTCGCAGTCTTAAGAAAGAAGATGACGGAAGACCGTCTGCTTACTCCCGCCGATTGTTACTCAGTCCACCTACTCTAAAACTCTGTTCTCCTCTGTCACTAGTCATCCATCATCGTGTCCCTTTCTTTTGTTGTCTTCCCCCTTGTCCCCACCTCCATGTCTCTCCTTTCCCTGAGTTTGGATCATTTTTGGGAGCAAAATCTTTGGGATAGGAGTAGCAGCTCTGATTTGGCTCCCTTTATCCAACCTTTCAGGGGTTAGGTTCAGTTTTAAGGTTTTGGTCTGGTCCTATTTCTACCTTTGCTACTACACAAGGTGCAGATGGTCAGTAGAGATATGGAGGAGAGTATACTGTGGAATGTCACTGTGTAAGATTTCCCATGCTAATGACATTCTTCAGTCCTGTTCCCAGAAATCCTTGCTCTTCTGGCAGAGGCAGAAGTCTGTTTCAAATTTTGTGTAGTTTTGTGCTTTGGACAGATGTTCACATCAAAATAGAGCAATTTTGTCCATCCCACCAATAAAGTTTCTTTCACGTTACCTAAACAGCCCATGGTATTTGTGATGGTTCTTGGGGTGCCCAGGACTGTGAGTCACCTTGGTACGCCCTGCCTTCAGTGAGAGGGTGTGTCAAGGTTCCTCCCCCACTCTGAACTCTAGGGTACAGATGTGGGGACCTGCATGAAAAACCTCCTAAACTTATCTTTACCAGCTTAGGTCAAAACTTCCCCAAGGTACAAAATATTACACCCGTTATCCTTGGACTGGCCGCTACCACCACCAAACTAATACTGGTTACTGGGGAAGAGCTGTTTGGACGCGTCTTTCCCCCCAAAATACTTCCCAAAACCTTGCACCCCACTTCCTGGACAAGGTTTGGTAAAAAGCCTCACCAATTTGCCTAGGTGACTACAGACCCAGACCCTTGGATCTTAAGAACAATGAACAATCCTCCCAACACTTGCACCCCCCCTTTCCTGGGAAATGTTGGATAAAAAGCCTCACCAATTTGCATAGGTGACCACAGACCCAAACCCTTGGATCTGAGAACAATGAAAAAAACATTCAGTTTTTTACAAGAAGACTTTTAATAAAAAATAGAAGTAAATAGAAATAAAGAAATCCCCCCTGTAAAATCAGGATGGTAGATATCTTACAGGGTAATTAGATTCAAAAACATAGAGAACCCCTCTAGGCAAAACCTTAAGTTACAAAAAAGATACACAGACAGAAATAGTTATTCTATTCAGCACAATTCTTTTCTCAGCCATTTAAAGAAATCATAATCTAACACATACCTAGCTAGATTACTTACTAAAAGTTCTAAGACTCCATTCCTGTTCTGTCCCTGGCAAGAGCAGCATACAGACAGACACAGACCCTTTGTTTCTCTCCCTCCTCCCAGCTTTTGAAAGTATCTTGTCTCCTCATTGGTCATTTTGGTCAGGTGCCAGCGAGGTTACCTTTAGCTTCTTAACCCTTTACAGGTGAGAGGAGCTTTCCCCTGGCCAGGAGGGATTTCAAAGGGGTTTACCCTTCCCTTTATATTTATGACAGGGTGACTTCCTGCTGTTTAACTAGGTTTCAGCTCCCTGATGCCATCAGCCTGTTAATCTCCTCTGGGCTATGCCAGGCCTTACTTTTCCTTGCAGGTTAACAATAGGTGCACCCAAGTCCTCAAACCTCTTTGAAGAGTTCTCCTGTAGTATCCTGCCCTTAACCACAGAACATTCACAGAAATGCAAAGTCTGCTGTCCCCAGAGAAACAATATACACACCAGGTTGAATGATTCAACTCAGGATCAGCTTGATTAATACCAGAGCACTGGAATATATTTATAGTGAAAATAATGATAAGCTTCTCAAAGATTTGAGATTCAAAAGAAAGTGAGTACAGATAATGGAAACAAAAGGGTTACATATAAAAGAAAATCATAGCACAATTTCTAGAGACTAAACAGGATAATCTTCTGTCTAAAGAAGTTATCTTACTTATCTTTTGTAGTGTTTCAGCCAAGCCTAGTTGAGATCCCGTTTTCATGAATGTAAACATGCTGTTCATTTACTTCCTAAGTGCAGGATTTTGAGGTGTCTCATTGCCTTCTACTTATATCCCCCAAATTCACTGTCTGTTTTCAGGCACAGTAACCCCCACCCTACCCCCTGTCAGTTGTTTTTTCCTGGGTCCCGCTTCTTCCCTGTGAATTTCACAGCTCCCTGTTGACTTTGTATGTAAATGAAGCTTCCATTGTGCTGGTTTACAATCCTTAATTTACATGCCAACTGAGAGATAGGTGAATCAACATCTCTTGTCTGACAGAAACCTGTTTGTCAACTGTGCCTTGATACAGACTTTGGAACATGTTTTCAGTGTTTATGTATATAAGTCCTTACATAGTATCTGTACAAATATTTCACAGCAATATTAATGACCAGCGTGACCCTGACTTTCATTTAAGACCTCACATTATAATCTTTGGTGAATCAGAAGGTACATGGAGGGATAAGAATATTCTTGTAATTCCCTTACCAGTTGGCACTGAGAGTCAGTCACAGTGCTGAAGAGGAGATTTGGAATTGCCTAGTTATGGAAAGAGGATTATTATCTGAAGCAAAATGTTTTCTTGCCCCCTCTTTGGAGTGGGGAGGAGAAGAAACACAAAGCTGACTCAAGTTAGCTAATATCATACAAAGTTTCACAACCAGGAAGGTTTTGTGGTGGTGTTGTGGTACTTGGGGGAGGGGGGAGCAGGTGCGCACGTGTTAGCTATTTAGAAGCAGATTCAATCATAGTTAGCACTTTACAATATGACATTTTCTGTCCCCACTCCTGTTAAATATATTTTAATGGTAGCAAACAATAGCTAGCTTTTGACTCAGGCAACATTCCACTTCATTTAGCCTGGAGAATAGATGAAAGTGCTACAACCCGAGGTATGGCATTTCATGTCAGTTAAAACATTGGCAACTGCGACTGATTTTGCTAATAAAATAGCTTTGTCTTCAGGAGATGTAGTTGTTTGTCAAGTGTAACCCAGTTTTAAAATACTGCCGTTTGAAAATATTTCCCTCCCATGAGATTTCAGTTTCAGTCTTTGATATTAGATACTTGAACTACATTATCATTTTGAGGAGAGAACTTTTATCTTGGTTGACATTTGCATGCTTACTTGATTTAGGAATATGAAATCCAATAAATACAAAGAGAGGCTAAAAAAATTATTTGTTTTATCAAATGAACTTTTCTCAGTGGTTTGGGTATGCTGGTCCTATTTTATTTTAAAGAAATGTCTTTACACCTTATATTAAGTTCCAATATAATGGAATGTAATAAAGAATTACATTGCCCTCAATACACAGTTTGCCATTCTCCTGCTGTGTCTGGTTAGGCTGTATCTTGCAATGTTTCTAACCTAACTAATGCGGATATCAGTTATAGAATAATATTTTTTAAAGCTTTACAGTAATTTAAGATCAACACTTTGTCTTAAAATTTGCCAAATATTATTTGAATTTTTCACTATATCCCGATTACCTGTCATTTTCATCTTTTTAAATTAACCACTGTTGATGAGAACTTAAAAAAACACCACTCAAAATAGACAGTACTTTGTTCTATCCCAGTAATTTTACTGTGATTCTCCAGAGCTAACAGAGTACATCAACCTGTCTTCTGCTCTCTACACTGAACACTGATTGACTGGCCAAGTGATGTTGCATTGAGTTCAAGATCCGAGTCCTTCTCTTCAAAGTGCTTAATTATGTGGGCTCAGGATACCACAAAGATTGCCTCAAGCTCTGGTATAAGGACTTGGGTCAACGACCCCACTATTCTGGTACAGTGAAATTATCTGCCTCAAGGGCATCGTTTGTCTCTGGAGGAGGCACAGTTTTCTTGGGGCCTGGTCCAAAACTGTGGAGTGAACACCTGCAGGATGTGAGAACCACCTCAAATGTCTTCACATTCCACTTTTTTGGACTACCTTCACTAATAAAAACACACAGCTTTATTAAAAGTGTATTAGAACATGCAGTCTTCCCCTAGGAGAGGAGGAAGAGAGAAGGAAGGACAGAATATCATGTAATAGATGCTAGTCATGTTGCTTAATGCATTACTGCAGGCGGTTTGGTTATAATAGTGGATGATATCAGAAACAGAACAGAATTAATTGAGAAGCACAAATTAAGCAACAGTTATTAACAAATGTATTAATTGACTCTAACGAGGTCTAGCGATTAAAAGCAGGGGACTAGTGATTGGGAGACCTTGAATCTGTTCTCAGCTCTGCCATTAAATTAATATCGGAGATGAGGAAAATTGTTTTACTTCAGAGCCCTGATTTCTCATCTGACAAGACATATGGTGATGGTACCTAAGAAAATCAATGAAGCAGAACTGTAAGAATGTGAATCCTCGGCAATGTAGTTAGAAGACACAAAGATGAAGCTAGCAATGCCAGGTTGGTAAACTTGACTTTGCCAAATGTAATGGGTTAACCTGGGGAAGAAAAAAAATCCTGTAAGGCAACCTTGCCTAAGGTAGAATTACTTAGGGCTTGTCTACACTTACATTTTATAGTGCTCTAACTTGCTAGCTCAGGGGTGTGAAAAATCACCCCCCTGAGCGCAGCAAGTCTGAGCACTTTCAAGCGCTAGTGTAGACAGGCTCCAAGTGCTGGGAGCCAATCCCCTCGTGAAGGTGGATTACCAGGAGCACTGGGAGAACTCTCTCCCAGCGCTCGCATGTGACTACACTTGCACTTCAAAACACTGCTGCGGGAGCGCTCTGAAGTTTCCAGTGTAGCCATGCCCTTAGTGACGAGGAAGGCACCCTGGGAAGGGGTTACTTCTTTGTAGTGGGTATTACCACTATATCACAAGATTCAGTGTTAGCTTGGTCTCAAAAAACATGAGGTGGGGTGGGAGGAATCTACACTGTCCAAACAAAAAAGGGCAAAGATAGGCCCTGATAGTGCAAACATTTATGTATGTGAGCAGTGCCATTGAACTTCATAGAACTGCTTCTGTGATTGGCAGGACTGAGCCTGTGTTCAGAAATGTTATTTTGAAGCTTGCAAGAGTAATTACGAATAAGGCGGGGGAGAGTAAAAATATAACAATAAAATTACTAAAATCAGAACTTGAAAGACTCTTTTGAGAGTTGCACTGCATTACATTTTTGGAAACCCTCAGGAGTAAGGAATTGTGGAAACCCGTGTAACTGTGTAATTGTGGCTGATAGCAAAAGAAATTCAATTACAGTAACACTTGTGAGCTGGGTAGGATCTGTTAGCATCTGCTTTAAAAGAATCAGTGTATACATTTATTTTCAATGAGTTTATTTGTGCCTTCTGGACTTGCTCTCATTACTGGGAAAATCTGTAGAATCTTTTTCTGGAAGTCTTGAATCCTGAGAGACAGACTCCTTTAAATAAATACAGGAAATGCCCTAGATTTTTGTCATCTTCTTGCTGTTTCCATTATAGGTTCCACTATTATTTACATGTGTCTTTGCCTTCCTTTTTCTTGATTTTCATATTATTAAGAGAGAAGGCTAAAGCTTCTATATTGCTGGGGGATGGTTGTTCCCATTGAGTTTCCTTACTTCTAAAATAGCCCTTGTAATTCCCTCCTTCTCTTCCCATCTCTCTCTCTCTCCCTATGCCCCCTTTAACATGTTAAGTGATATAATGTGTCTTTGTCCTTTGTATGCTTTTCTTGTCTAAACATTTTTTGGGTGCTGGATATAAAACTATTGAAGTAAGTGGCGGTTTATGAGATAGGTTTGATCCTGTAGGTGAGTAGTCCTGTTAAATTCACATGTCTCATGTAAAGGCTTCAGGATTTTGCCTGTGGCACAGATGTGTACTAGAATGTTGCTTACTACAAAAGACTCCTAACGTTACTTTAGTTGTACATGAAACTGCTACCTTAAAGTTCCACTGATCTGTCTTAAAGCACTTTTTCTTGCATGTACATTTCTGTACAAATTTACTCACCCAACATTGGACTGTCACCACCCATTTATTCAGTATGAGATTTTTACTTCTCCACAGGACCAGGATGTGGATTTAAAATAATAGCATCTTTAGGATTATGGAGTAATTACCATTTCCATAATTGTTTAGATTCTCACATACAGGGAAGTCTGTGATGGTCTAGCAGATAGATATATATTTAGACAATTATTTAAATTCTTTTTATTTGGATTTTTCATCTGTAAACTGTATTAAAAGAAATGTAGCTGTAGACACTCTTGAAGTACCATTGTACTGAAAAGAAATATCAGTGAAATTCACAATAATGGCCAGACTTCTATCCTTGACTGCCCTTTGTATATGTGGAATATACAAGATTGTATACTGTTCAAGGTCCTATGATAGAAGAATTATCCACTACAGCAGGGATAGGGAACCTTTTTTCTATCAGGGACCATTGACCCACAGGGCTGGGGAGGGAGGTTGGGATGCAGGAGGGGTGAGGGCTCTGGGGTGGGGCTGAAGATGAGGAGTTTGGGGTGTGAGAGGGGGCTCTGGGCTGGGGCCAAGGGGCTTGGAGTGCAGGAAGGGGCTCAGGGTTGGGGGTTGGGGTGTGGGAGGAGGTTCGGGTGCGGGCTCTGGGAGGGAGTTTGGGTGTGGGAGGGGGTTCCAACCTGGGAGAAGAGGTTTGGGATGCGGGCTCCGGCTGGGCGGCGCTTACCCTCAGGTTGCTCCTGGTTGGTGGCGCAGCTGGGCTAAGGCAGACTCCTTGCCTGCCCTGGCTCCACACTGCTCCCGGAAGCAGCTGGTGTGTCTGACCCCTAGGCGGAGGGTCCGGGGGGTTCTGTGCACTGCCCGCAGGTGCTGCCCCTGTTCCTGGCCAATGGGAGCTGCAGAGCTGGTGCTGGGGCAGGGGCAGCACATGGAGCTTCCCTGATCGCCCCTGGTCCTAGGAGCCGCAGGGACATGCTGGTCGCTTTCGGCCGGATGAAATGAAGCAGCAGGCTGGATTTGGTCGGCGGGCCATAAGTTCCCCACTACAGTATTTCAGCAAAAATTGCACATTATTGTGGGGACTGCATTTTAAATTTGAGGCTGAATGTCCAGATTTCTGTCAGCTTCACTGAAAACCTGTAATAAGGGTTTAAATATAAATTTGAATGTAGGTTCAATAATGATAATTAATAATGCTTTGCGCTTCTGCTGAATCTTCCATATGAAAATCTCAAAGCATTTGGTTAACATTAAGTCTTGCAAATTCTCAGAGAAATGAAAGGATGTATTTTCAAAAATGGCCTCTGATTTTCAGTGCCTTCAATTTTGAGTGTTCCACTTTAGGACCTGATTTTTATTGACTTGTCCAAAGTTACACAGCAAGTCATTATCAGATAGAGAATCTTACTTTTTGTAGAGCATATATATTGTCAGGTTATTCCACTTCACTTACTGAAATGTTATATTTCCTATGTATTAAGTCCATATATCTGGCTTTTCATGAGAGACCACGTATGCTATGTAGTTTCTCAAGCTCCTTCATACTGTAGGGAAAATCAAGCTGTATAACAATTGGTTTGGAAGTAAATTACATCTGGATAAACATTTTGCTTGGCTTCTAGGGCTAAGGACCTTTCTGGGAAGTCTGTCAGAGTCTGTAAAGGCCCCCGAGCAGTATTTTCTCGAGTTTTACTGCTGTTCTCACTGACTGATTCAATGGAGGATGAGGAAGCAGCTAGTGGTGGCCAAGGCCAGCTTTCCACCGTGCTTATGGTAAACATGGGTCGTACGGTGTTTCCCAGTTACACAGTAAATAGGAAAACAGCAATCTTCCAGGACAGAGAAGATCTCATCAGGTAGGAGGAACTTTGGCTATCTGGAAACTGATTCATGGAGACAACATGTGAAATGCGGCAATGACACCCGTGTGTTTATTTCTAGATAAGCACTATTATTGGCTATACCTTGTCAACTTATCGGTGCTATTGCCATAAATTATAGGGCATATAGAAGACCAGAGGAAAACACACAACAGTATATTTGTGGTTGGTTAATATAGAGTCTGCTAAGAAGCCTCCCAAAATTTGTAATTTTGGTGGCCTTACATTCTGAATCAAAGTAGCTTACCTCATTGCTTCATGGTCATCTGCTGATGAAAGCTGTTCATTAAATTGCAATGCCTGCTGTTAGAATAAATTCATAGAACAATGAGAAGATGATATAAATGTTTTATACTGGAGAAACATTTTAAACTTAATGCACCCTGATGTATAGTCCATTCACTTCAGAAGATTACTCCAGGAATAAAGTTGGCCTTGTGGGTTGGTTTTGTTGTTGTTTTTTTTTTTAATGCCTTGGGAGATGAGGGTGGGAGGGAAATCAGATAACATTGTATAAAGGAAATGAGTTATTTTTAACTATAAACTGTCTCTGTACCTGATATTTATTTTTGTATTTGTGGTTTGGGTTTTTTTGTTTGTTAGATATGCTACAGCTGCTCATTTGTCAAATGATGTAGCCATTGCAATGGCTAATGGGAACTGGACAGAAGCTAAATATCTCTATATGTGTGCAAAAGAAACCTGGCATGAATTGAAAAATCATCCTTCTTTGAGGTACTAAAGCACAAATGCACGCTGAAATTCACATGCAATTAGCAGATACATGATCTCATTTTTGATGCAGCTCCTACTGAAGTAGGCTTGGATTCTTCTAACCCAAGCCTGTAGAATTCAGCAGTTTCACTATTCTTAAATGCTTTGAACTTCCTGGTTTATTTGTTTAGCTTTTAAATGGTTTAAATTGGAGAGACTTTTTTGTAAAAGTGCAGAGTGAATTGGTAGACAAAGATAAAGCACTGAAACAGCTCCATATTCTACATGCCAAAATGAAGGAGAATAAGAATCTATTTTTCACTTGTCTTAGTTTCTCTTTATGGCTGCTAGGCAAACAGCAATCAGTAGATTTTTAAAATTCACAAAGAACAAAGTAATGTTCCAAAGGTTATGGGAAAACATACTCGGTATTCATCTGCTGAAACTTCCAAATGGGTGTTATTCAGGAAGCATTACTAAAGATCTGAGAACTGAACATACATGTATTGTTGTTCAAGTGTCCTTCATTAGTTTCCATTTTAATTATTTGTCTGGTAGCTTGATGATACGTTGAAAATCATAGCCCTGTGGTTGCCATCATATTCACTCTCATGGCAACTGACTTAACCTCATATTCATGGAGGGTCATTTGGGGGCTTGATCTTTCTCCTGTTGAAGACAGTGGCAAAATTTCCCTTCAGTGAGATCATGCCCTTGAATAGTATATGCCATCAAAAAAAGATGGCTAATATCTGTAAGTTAAATACATTTGTTAGGACAGGAAAAGCTATTTCAGCCAGTGACCTTTTGTCCAGCTGTTTGTCTGCTAGCTGACCTTCTGTCTTGGTAGAGAACACCTGTAAGTAAAAAACAAAAAAAGAAAACAAACAAAAAAGATGATGGAACTAAATTTTCTTTTAACTGACCCTATGATCTGTGAATCTTTAGTTTCACTGGTTGTTGAACCAAAGGACGTGGCTGCCAAAATATTAATATTAAACCATTGCACCAGCCACCTTAATTCTGTCACGTGCTAACTTTGGAGTGGTAGACTTTGCAACCTTAATATTCTTTTTACTGCATTTTTAAATATATTTCATGTGTTTTGTTTTTATAAGCACTTGACTATTTGTGTGCTTTGTAAGAAAGAGTCTGAATGATTTGGATAGTCATTCCTATTTTAATGATCTCTGATGTGTTCTTTTTTTTAAGATGCCATAGAGACTTACCTGAGTATCTGCGACATTTTACGGTTGGGTGGATGTATACAAGGATCCTGTCTCGAGGGGTTGAAATACTGCAGAGACTTCATATGTATGAGGTAAAGCAGTGGTGCAAGACTGTGGTTCATTTTTAATTGCTAATCTTTCTGTAATGAAATTACTATAGCTGGCTCTCAGGTATAAAATCCCTACATTTTCCGTGGGTGGCAGTCTTAATACATTATAACTGCACAGTGTCAGACCTCATTAATGATACAGTTCACAGGAATATTGTAGAAGGATTTGACATTGAATAGTCAATGATGTTTTTATCTGTTGTGTAGCTTTAGAGATGATAGGATCTTGTGCAGCTTTGCTTAAAGGTAACCTATGAAGAAAAAAACAGTGTACCATTTTTCTTCCTGCATTAGGAGCTATAAGGCCTGTAAGAGGTTTTTCAACATTTTTTTTCCACTTTTTTTTTTTCTTGCATAGCATTAGGTTTTGACTTCGCTGTTATAGCTGGAAGACTCTGTGGAAGGCTGCAGATCCAATTGGGGATTATTACATGGCAAGAGTCTAACACTGAGGGGTTGTTATTTAGACTGTTTAAAGATACCTCCTTTTCACTGGATTTTGTTAACCCCTTGTAAAGACATACTCTTGAGGGTGAGAGGGAAAGCTGACTCTGAAATGCTCTGCCTCTTCAGTTGAGGACTAAGAATCTCTAGCTTAAGAGTTCCCTACCATGGAACATAAATTTATAATAGAAAGAAAAACACCAGGAAAACCTCTTTAAACAAAAAACAAGCAAGCAATTTTCAGACCTTCTTTGTATATCGTAAAGAAGTAAAATAGGGAAAAAGCATTTTCCTCTTTGCAGTTGACCTGTAAGTCTAAATGACTCTCTCTATGTTCATAGGAGCTGTTATAGAAAGGGATGTTAAGGGTAAAAAGGACTCGAGCTGAGAATTGCTGAGAGTTAAATTAGCCAGTGAGGAGGAGGCAAAACACGTGGAAGGATAATAGTACTGTGTTACTACAGCGCTATGGGCAATGTAACTGGCTTAATTGTATAATGATGCTTCAGCTTGCTTTCCTGTGTCATCTAATAGAAGAGTTTTGCATTGCTGTAGGAGGCCGTGGAAGAGCTGCAGAATCTTTTGTCTCAGGAAGTGTATTGTATAGACAGCAGAGGACGATGGTGGGATCGACTGGCTCTGAATTTACACCAGCACTTGAAACGCACTGAGCAGGTATCCCCTAACTGCATGCTCTACCACTGGAGAACAGTACTAGCTAGGTGTTAAAAAACACTGTGATTGTATTTCATATGAGCAGGAGTGCTGGGAAGGCACTGTAAGAGGCTAAGGCTTGGTCTACACTGCATACTTCTGTATAACTACATTCCTCAGTGTGAAAAATCTAAATCCCTGAGCAGCGTAGTTATACCTTAACCTCCCATGTAGACCATGCCACGTTGGCAGGAGAGCAGAGGTGAAGTTATTAAGGTGTTGGGAGAGCTTTCTCCCATCGGTTTAGATGTCTTCACCAGATTCATTACAGTGGCACAGCTGCATTGGTGGAGCTGAGCTGATGTAAAATTTGTAGTCTACACCTGCCATCAGTGCTTTGTATGGATCTGTTCCCAAGGGTAGTTGATAGGCTTCTCTTGTGCAGTAGGACTTGTTTTTGGGTATGTTTACACTACAGCATAAGCCCGGGCTCAAGTTTAATCCCCCTGGCATCTACACTGCAATTGTGCTAACCCATGGTTTCAGAACCTTGCAGGGTTGGTGGGTCTGAGCTTGAGTTAAGCTGTGACCCAGGGCCCGAATCCTGTTGCTTTGCACTGTAGATGCAGCCCCGCTTGACTCCGGTCCTGGGAGTCAGCCAGAAGTATCCCACAATTTCAGGGGACAGCTTTCTTAATCCTCGCTATCGCAACAATCCGCAATCCACTCAATTGAAGAAGGAAGCACCCCTCTCTCCCCTTGGCAAACTATAGCAGCTCAGGTCAGTGTTAACTCATTCTCTTCTGATCACTGGGCTAGATTGGCGACATTGGGGGGTGGAGGAGCACTAGGTTGGTAGGCTGCTCCACAGAGAGGCAGGGAAAGCCTTTGCAGAGGAGGGGGGTATTCCTGTTAAAATCTCTGCCCCCATGTTGAGGAGAGGCAGCTGGAAAGGAGGCCTCTTTAGCTCCTCCTCAGGCAAGGAGCTATTTTAGCATATATAGTGGGAACTGTTAGATAGACTGTTCCTGATGGGGAGCAGGGGTAACTTTTACCTCAGGGCAGGCTTGGATGCCTTATTTTCTTTCCCTGTAAGTCTGCCAGGCCGCTTATCCATGTGCTTTCACTCGCTAGAGGATTTCTGGTTTTTTGGAGAGGTTGTGGGAGATAAGTGCCGTCATACCAGAGTGACGTGTAGACGGAGCCTGGGCTGTGAAGAAGCATGGCAGAGTCCTGAGGTTCCAAAAGAAGCAATCTCACAAACTGAATTAACACTATTTGGCCTGGTATGTTGCCTAGTCTGCTGCACCACAATAGGGCCTGCACTAGACAACCCAGAGAATAGTGGGCTCAGTGCTCTGAACGTCTAGTAGAAATGGTATAAGAAGAGTGTTACCAATAGATAGTAAACTTACTATTACCTGAAAAATGGCACACCAAAGGGTTAAATTTAGTAAAGCCCAGAGAGAACTGGCCTTGTTACTTGCTGCTCCGTGAGGGGCAGAACTTTTGGCAAGTGGAAGCCGGGGTAACCCAGTGTGGCTCTTTAGCTATATCTACACTATACAGCAGCTGGGTATGTGTCTCCCAACCCAGGGAGACAGACTCCTGCTAGCTTGGCTTGAGCTAGAGCACTAAAAATATCAGTGTAGCTGTTGTGGCACTGGCTGAGGTTCAGGCTAGCTCCCTGAGCTTGGACCGACCTGATCCCTTGGGCCTGAGCACGGTTGGCCTACGAGCCTCTGCTGATGCCACAACCTCCACACAGCTATTTTTAGTGTACTTACTAAAGCTGAGCTTGTGCCAGTCTGTCTACCCAAGGGTGGAAGGCACACTCCCAGCTGCAGGGTAGACATACGCTCTGTGCCCTCTTAGTGGCTAGACTACGAACAGAGGTTTGACTTTGCTACCACTTTTGAGCTAATTGACCTGGTCCATTAGCTCAAGTAGTAGAGATTCCTGCTTTTAGATCTAGGGGTCCCAGAATCACTCCCCACAAACAGCTCGTCCAGGGGCAACATTGCCCGTGCCTTAGCCCTAGAGTTCCCATGCCACGACTCTGAACTACGCCCAAAATCCACGCAGAGAAAAAACAGCCCATCAGTCTCAGATTGAGTGAGAAGTTAGGATCCAGAATAAGGCATTGTAAAGGACATGTGGTGGGCCATATTTATCCCTACTGTGTGGAACTCTGGAGCCTGTATTGGAAGTACATTGGGGAGGGATTTGGTCCACTTTTGCCTGACATCCTTGCCCCTCCATGGGGTGAGTTTCTAAAAGCAAATTAATTGTGCAGTGGGTAAACTTGCCAGTTTCTAGCTGCCTGATACAATTCAGGCTTTCAGAGACACCGTGTCCATGGAGACTAGTGCTTGGGTTTCTAAGTGATTAGTTGGCAGGTGGCCAAGGGAGAGAAATGTAACAGCTTGGGAATGGCATAGCATGTTTGGATGTAATGATTATATAAGACCTTACAGAACTCTCCAGCACTTTTAGGCAGACATTTGCAGCAGACTGTGTTGGAACCAGTGGCACCAATTTGCAGGTCTGGGTCTTCCTTTGACTTCCACCTACTTTCAGTAAGCAGGTGCTGCTATTGGTGCATGAGACATCACTGTGGTAAAGCAGCCAGCAGCAGAAGTCTGTGTGCTCCAAATTTTGTGGCTCAGCACCCTAAGGCTACGTCTACATTTACGGTGGGGTGAAGAATACATGCACGGCACCCTCCCACCCCCAGCAATGATATACATAGCAGTGTAGCTGGTGAGGCACTGCTTTGGCGAGTGAAGACACACCATAACCTTGAGGTATATACACTACATGGCTCTCTGTGTGCAGCAGCAGCGCCGCCTCGCCTATACTGTTTTTAGCAGTTTAGTGTCCTGCTGCCTCCCCACTGATAGGCGTGGGAAAGGCTCTGACAAGGGGAGGCAGTGGAGAAAAGATTTGCAGCTCCCTGCTGTGAGAGCCTTTCCCTGCTGCCCTCCTCCCCCCCCCAGAGATTTTTGCTGATGTGTATAGCTACACATTGCAGCGTGCATGCAGCCTGCTGTTCACTGCAGCTTGGAGCTACACATATCCTCCATGCTGCCACCAGTGTAGACAAAGTCTGAGTGTGACCCAGTTGCCCTTCTCCTACCTCATCTGCATCAGCCCACTCAGAGCTGGTGCAAAATCTCTCTCCCTGGTTTGCAGATGGAGCTGAGACTGGCTGTAGCTGCCTGGCAGCTGATCTGTTGTTGTTTGTGTTATAGTTGCTCCTACAAATCCTGACTTTCATCAGTGTCCAATTTTGCTAGGCACTATATATACACATAGTAAGAGAGAGTCTCTGCCCTGAATAGTTTACAGTTTAAATAATATAATACAAATAGAAGGTGTGAGAAAGGAAGCATTAGTGTTCCCATTTTACATGAGAACTGAGTGAGGCTTGGGGGCTTGCCTACGCTTGCAAGTTAGAGCGCATTAAAGCAGCCCCGGGCACCCTAGTTCGCTACCCGTCCACACTGGCAAGGCACGTAAAGTGCTCTGACTCCACGGCTAGCACGCTCCTGGTGCTCCACCTCGGCAAGAAGATTAACACTTGGTACGCCTTGGCTGAAACACCTGGGCGTCAGTGTGAACGAGGTGTTGCATTACTGCACTCTGATCAGCTTCTGGAAACATCCCATAATCCCCTTAAGTCAAGTGGACACTCTTGTCATTGTTTTGGAATCGCTGCAGGAATGCGGATGTGCTCTTTGAAAGCTCTGTTTGTGACAGCCGGCTGCTTATCTGCTCCGAGACAAAGCAATCATTAGTGTGGAATGCTGTGTGTGAGGGAAGGAGGCAGTGAGCGGGGTCTGCTGCTATCTGAACTTACAAGACAGCATGCTGACATGCTCTCAGCCCCCCAAAAACCCACTCTCTCTCCCCCCCATACACACAACACACTCCCTGTCACACTCCACCCCCACCCCGCATTTGAAAAGCACGTTGCAGCCACTTGCATGCTGGGATATCGACCACAATGCACTGCTCTCTGTGGCTGTTGCAAGAGCTGCTAATGTGGTCATGCCAGTGTGCTTGTAGCTGTCATTGTGGACAGATTGCAGCGCTTTCCCTACTGCACTCTGCGAAGGCTGGTTTAACTCAAAGCGCTCTACATCTGCAAGTGTAGCCATGCCCTTAGAAGTATGAAGTACCTTGCCCACAGTCACACAGAAAGTCTGTGGCAGAGCCAAGTTCTCCTAAAAAGAAAAGGAGTACTTGTAGCACCTTAGAGACTAACCAGTTTATTTGAGCATAAGCTTTCGTGAGCTACAGCTCACTTCATCGGATGCATCAGTTCTCCTAAGTCTCAATTTAGTGCCTTAACCCTCAGACCATCTTTCCATTCGTAAGACTGAAGTAGTGCAGAGGGCCTATGCTGGGCTCAGTTTTACCCTCCATATATTTGCACCATGAGCTAGCATACCTGTTCTTGAATTAAACTGCTGTTAAAATAGCTGGGTCACCTTGTTGAAAAATTGGCCCAGATTAACTGGCTGCTACTACCAGATAGCAATGCTGGGAATCAAGACTTATATGCATTAAATCCTGCGTGTTCAGTGGCACCCTCCTCTTCGTTCCTGCCCGCCACTTACTCTGAATGGATTACTTTGATCCTCTCCAGGTCGTTGTTTGCTTAGCTGGTACATTTAAGTGCATTGCAGTGGTTTAGGGTGGTGGGGGAAAAGCCTGGCCACATTTTTTCTTGGTCAAAAGTATATGGCATGAGCATTTTTAGTTTAGTTTTTGAATTAAGTATTAGACACTTAAAATATTTCATTCTAATTGCATCCATTTACAGAATAGAAGTTATCATTTCCAAGTACCCTTTGGGAAAATTTTAGTTTCGTGTTTCACTTGTGTAAATGGGGAGTAACTCTAGTAACTCTGAAACTGTCTTCTGCTATTTTGCCGGTGCAAAATATCACTTAAAAGGAGTTTCTTCAGTATAATAAGAGTAAGAAAGGAAATAGATTCCCCTTTAACACCATTCTTTATTCTCTGTTGCTTTCCTTCTTTGTGCTCTTTGAATCAGATGTTCCCTAAGGCTCAGTAGAAATAGACTCATATATTCTTCCCAGGTCATTACCTGAAATCATCTTCGTTCCTAGGCTATTGAGTGCATTAGAAAAGGGCTGTCAGATCCATTTGTGCGCACAGGCCATCGACTTTCTCTCTACCAACGTGCACTGCGATTGAGAGACTCACCAAGCTGCAAGAAGTTCAGGAGCCTCTTTCAGGAGCTGCCTGTCATAACTGTGGAAGATGTTACACATGTGAGTAAAACTGGTTCCTGAGAACCTACCAATTCCAGCAGTCTTTTCCTTCTGACTGGGATGGTAATGCTGGAAACTCTGTGTGTGTGTGTGTGTACTTCACTGCATTTGTATTACATACTCTGTAACACAATGGGCCCAGCCCTCAACTGGTATAAATCAGCAGAGCTCCACTGATTTCAGAGAAGCTGTGCTGATTTATACTAACTGTAGATCTGACCCAGCTTACCAGTAAAGCTATAAAACTTTATAGTGTCCAGAAGTTTCCTGGGCTCCCTTCCAGACTGTGCTTCTGACTTACTGAATGACTTTTAATCTCACTGGGCCTCAGTTTTCCATATGTAACATGCGGGTAGATATTACCAACTTCATTGGGGGTTTATTCGCCCTCTTGGAAGGGCTTGTGAGAATGCAGGACTGGTAGAATCAGGTTTGTGGTCCACTGGAGGCAGGAACTTCCACATTAGAATGGATATTATTATGCTTCATTCTCCCCTGCCCTGTGTAGTCATTTACACCTGTTCACAGTGCGTGTAAAGCACACCAAACCATAGTGGTAGGACATCACACCTATTGTACACAGGTGTACATCAGTATTCAGTGGGCAAGGATCAGTCCCCTGGTGTGTTAATATTTGATTTTGGGAAATTTTGCCAAGAAGATGAGCAGGAATTTACTTCTTGATTAACTTCATAGTTAAATGCTTTTTGTGTGTGCAACCTGCTAGATATTATGGGTGAAATCCTGGCCCTGGTGAAATTAGTGGAAGGTTTGTCATTGACTTCACTTGGGACAGGAGTCTACCCTGTATCCTGACTCCTGACATTCCCTTCAACTCAGAAGCTGTGCTAGTGTGGTTCCTTTATGAACATTTGCCATTTCAGTCTGATTTTGTCATCCAAAAATTGACTCCATTAGCAAATGGCTGTCCAGAAAATGGCAGCTTAAACTATGAATTCTTTATTTTTAGCTGACCAATATTTCACTTGTTTTTTGGAAGTTTGTGTCTCTTTGTAAAAGCAGTGCTAGGGAGCTGTGTATCCCTTAGTAGAGGTAAAGATACTTAAATAAGGCTGTTCACCTTTAATATTGGACATTAACTAGCTGTTTTGATGTATTCAGGTTACAATCAAAGGAAAAATGTGTCCCCAGACAGGGGTGGGAAAATCTGTGTTTCTAGTAGAGGACGATGATGATCAAGAGGAAGGAGAAGACTTCACTCTGTCCACAATCATGTGTTCAGTTGAGGAGCTGGCATTAACGCATTACAGACAGAATGGCTTTGATCAGGGTAATAGTAACAATTCTCTTATGCCAATGCAATAATGTTAAGGAATGGAGTATCAGCAACAAAGAGTCTTTTAACCCAGTTTTAGCAGTTAATGCTCCCATTGTTTGAAAGTCAGTGAAACGGTGCTGATTTTTTTTCCTTCCTAAAAGTAGCTGGAAATTGGACTTTAGAGCCTTTCTCCTGGACTTTGATTCCTTTTCTCCTCCACATCCCAGTTGCCGTTTTGAAATGGAAAAAAAATATTCCTTTATCTTTCTAGATCTCCCAGTGCATTGGAAGTTTCTCATCTTGTCTTTCAGATCAGTAGGCTTTTACTTAAAATAGTGTAATTCACGCATGTGTAGGAGTTTGGGATTCCAAAAGCTGTAACTGTAAGTGACTGAGTGCCAACAGGAGCAAGAGTGCCACTGAGGAAATTGTATAGAAAAGGATTTTATAGACATCCCATTATGATTATCTAGACTAGATGATCATCTCTTCCTAGTCTTCTGGCATTTCAGGGTCACTGCAATTAACAGTAGACATACATACTTCTGTTATAGCAAGAGCATCAGCAACTGCTTTAGTTAATGTCACATAACAGATTCCTTTATTTTGTTTTCAGTTGCTCATAACTTTGTGAAATTTACCATAATCCCCACAGTTTCAGAAGGATTAGGGGACTAGTAATCTTTTTGTTGTTTTATCTGTATCTTGGCACTAAAAATCTGAGTGTAGTACAACAGAGTAGGCAGCCATTAAAAATATTGTGTCTTAGTGGAGAACCAAGAAGTCAGGCTTTGTAACAACTCTCATCATAGCCAGAGATCCAAACAGTGGAGTGGGGAACCAAGTGAAGCATTTGTTGGACCAGTGAATCAGTGAGGAAGTTATAGAGAATGGTGGAGCAGCAAGTGACATCATGCATGCTACATGGTGTATTAGTGGGTGTTGCCAGATTCCCTACTCCTGTCTACACGAAGATAGTGTGTGCTGACAGCCATGAAACTAAACTTTCTTGAAATCCCCTTTAAAATGGAGTGGAGCAGCCAACCTTCGGTGTAGCTTGTTTTGGGTAATAGACAAGATTCTTAAGGCTTTGAAATGTCCAAAATGTAGTTATTTGGTAACCTTCAAAAGGGTCTTGCCTTGATTAAATTTTTTTAGTCCATTATATTGGCATTAAACAAAGACCCTTAGGAAATTGTGAAAGTGATATCAATGCCATTAAAATGCATTTTACTACATTTTGTTTAGTGTTAGTATCTGTTGATGGCGTGTATGTGTAATCCTGAACATGATACTTTGCTCTTGCTGAACATTTTAATCTGTATTTCAGATGAGGTTGCTTTAACGACTCAGAGATTGAAATGTGCATATCTTTGTTTCCATGACTGAAAATCTGAATGTGATTTTTGTCCTTCAGGGATTCATGGAGAAGGGTCCACGTTTAGTACACTCTATAGCCTTCTAATGTGGGACATTATTTTCATGGATGGCATACCAGATGTTTTCAGAAATTCTTATCAGGTATTTGTGAAAGGTATTTTTCTCTATCCAAAGGTTTGTTTAAAAAGAGATAATTATGATAAACATCTATTAAAGTCTGTTCTAGATTCACAGTGTTTTATCTGATGGCAGGTTGTATCCTGTTACTGAAATGTTCTTCATTGCTAGTTGATAGTAGTTTGCCCTGGCAGGCACAGTTAGTGTGCAGCATTCACTTACCGTTGGTAATTGTTCTTGACTAAAATCTGACTAGTACTGAAGACCTTTGATGTTCATCATTTTTCCAGAGTGGAGGCCTCATGCCCTCTAATACATATGTAAGGCCATAGAATGCTTGAAACCTTAGAAATTAATCTTTTGGTGACCTCTGACGGGAAGTCAGCTTTTCTTTGAGTTCAGAGGCACATATGTGAATATACCAAATTTCACGATTCTAACTTAGTGCAAACATACATAGAGTGAGTGAGTGGTCTGTGTGAGTTTCAATCATTTCTGCCAGTGTTCCTTTCCTCTATACTTAGACTCTACTGAAGCTCATCCCTTCATAAATCCATTCCCTTTTATAAACTTAATCTTATTATACACACATCATTCCCAATTAAAAAAAAACAAACTCTCAGAACCTGCTTATAGCCAGGATGTCTCAGGATTTAACCAAACACAGCGCTGTCCGTTTAGCTTTTTTGTACCTGGCCCTTTGTGTAGCGAGTTTCATTTGTTATTGCAGCTTAAAGGTGGCAGGAGACTCATGCCTCAGCAGAGAAGAGGTTGAAAGCTCACCTCTCCCCCTGTCTTTTATTCTTCCTTCCCTGCTTCTGGTTCCTACACTGTGCTCTGAGCTCACATGCAGCGCCAAAGTGAGTAAGATTGAAATCCAGATCTCTGAAGTGCTCTGAAAGTGTGAATCAGAAATCCAAACTTCAGTCATCATCACTATGCAGCGAGCACATGGATGAGAGACTAGATGGGCAACTGATAGGGGGAGGGAACTCTGAGAATATGGGAGTTTTCTGCTTGAAAAACCATCTATTCTGTAGAGCCTTTGTTCTCTCTGCAGACAGAAAAATAGAACCATTGCTCTCTCCCCATCTTATGGACTGGCACGGTGCCATGCAGACTGTAGTGATGTTTGACATTTCAATACACTTTCTGGAAACGCATGTTCCCCAGACTGTCATTTTCTTTGTCACTCATTTCAAGGGGGAATATTTTCTTCTGTGTCTACATTCTTGGTGCAGACTATTACCCTGAACGGTTTAGTAGTACCAACAGGGGCCCCAGGTTCTTAGCTACTCTTGTGGACCTTGAGGTATGTCTGGATAAAAGGGGAGCCTCTTAGGTTAAACATTGCTAAATTAGCAAGATCCTAGAAATACCTCTTCTTTATTAATTAAATGCTGTGGTTCATTAGGCCAGTATGTTAGGCTCTTGAATGTGGCTAGTGTTTGGTGCAGTAATCTTAAATGTGTAAGTGCAAGTGTAATCTATTCCATTAAATCAAGATTTCGATGACTGCTGTGTTTTTTAATTACTTCTCTTAAACCTGCAAGTTAAATTGTAGCCCAACATTCAAAACAGAGCATTGACAATTTCAGAATCTCCATTTCTCCAAGTGCCCTTGAATTGTCAGACTCCAGCTACTGAGGAGTGTGTTTCCATTTTCATACAGGCCTTCCCCCTGGATTTGTATACTGACAGCTTCTATGAGAAGAGGAGGGATGCCATTGAATCTAGACTCCAGCTACTGTACGCAGCTTCCTCAGAGACCCTGAAAGAGATGATTGCCAATGTCTGGAATGCTCAAGAGGGAAAAGCAGCAGCACTAGTTAGTTGGGACCGGTTTACTTCCCTCCAGCAGGCTCAGGTAAAATAGCAAACATCTTATCACACTTAGGCCTAGATTCATTAAGGAACCAGGCCTGGTGACCCCGAGTATGCCCATGCCTAACTTTTAGATACCTAGGTTTCAGAGTAACAGCCGTGTTAGTCTGTATTTGCAAAAAGAAAAGGAGTACTTGTGGCACCTTCGAGACTAACCAATTTATTTGAGCATAAGCTTTCGTGAGCTACAGCTCACTTCATCGGATGCATACTGTGGAAAACACCATCACTGGGATTCACAAAGCCTGAGTTCAGTGCCTAGGCTCTTATACAATGAGTGGGGGCGGAGGAAGGCATCTCAGAATAGGATTCGCAAAAGTCAGCATACTGGGTGGCTTCTCGCATAAGCCAGCCAATGAGGGATGTCAAGGGGAGAGAAGTGTGCTAAGCCCCACTCCTCTTGGAGATAGGTGCCTAAATTTGAGCTGCAGGGAGGCACCTTCCTCTGCTTGGGATTCTCACGGGGGAACCTTCTCAGGGCGTTTAGACCCTGTGCTGTTTTGGCAAAAAGCGGGGCAGTGGGGAGATCCACCTCCCCCATAGCTTTGGTTAGGGTACTCACCTGGGTCAAGTCTCCCTCCCACCTGAGGGCAAGAAGGGATTTCAGTAAGTATCTGTCACCCCTCCAAGTGATGTCACCCCTCCATGCATCCGATGAAGTGAGCTGTAGCTCATGAAAGCTTATGCTCAAATAAATTTGTTAGTCTCTAAGGTGCCACAAGTACTCCTTTTCTTTTTGCGAATATAGACTAACACGGCTGCTACTCAGAAACCCTCCAAGTGAGTGCTCTAACCACTGAACTATGGGATATTCTGATGAGGGGCTCCCTCAGTCTCTCCTGTTGAAACTGTTCCCCTTTGCAATAATAATTTTAAAAAGTCTTGGAGAAGGGCACTGGATCCTGGGTCTCCCACCTCCCAGCTGAGTGTGCTAACCATCAGCCTGTAGTGTCATCCTCATGCTTGCTCTCTCTCAATCTGGTCCAATGATTCTTTCATTATTTATCCACAGTGAAACAGCTTCAACACTGGGCCAGAGAGAGATTCCATTTGTGAATCCAGCCCTTAGTGTTAAGTCACAATTCTGTCTAGCCATCTAGGGACTTGGATGGCTCCCATTGCAATAGTATCTGAGCACCTCAATACTTAGTGTTCACCCCAGTAAGTTAGGGAAGTGCTGTTATTTCCATCTGACAAATGGGGATCCGAGGCACTAAGCAACTTGCTCAAAGTCACACTGGAATTCTGTGGCAATCTAGGTCCCCCAAGTCTTAAGCTAGTGCTTAGACCAGTGTTCTGTTTTGGTCCTTAGGGCATGTCTACATGTATGAGATTTGGCTCTGTTGAAATTGATGTAGCGAATGTTGATTTAGCGAGTCTGGTGAAGACACACTAAATCGATGGGAGAGCACTTTCGCATTGATTTGTGTACTCCATCGATGGGGAGGTGCTTTCCTGTCGACACAGTGCAATGTAGCCACTGCAGTAAGTGGATCTAACTATGTCGACTTCAGTTGAGTAACTTAGATTGATTTACCGCAGTAGTGTAACCCTGCCCATAGAAGTACTCTTTGACCCTGTTGCCAGTTTTCCTGTACCAAAGCTGGGAATGTTGGAGGAGGCTAGTTGCAGGGAGTATGTGAGGTGTGTTAAGCAAATGGCAAAGAAGAAATCAGAGAAATGGCATAAAGTTGGCTTACTTTTGCAAGACTGGAAATGGCAAGATAAAGACACTTCTTTATTAATGTACTTGCAGAGTCTAGTGTCTTGCTTTGGGGGACCTTTTCTAAGTGGTGTATGTAGGAGGCTCTCCAAAGATCTGCGCCATTGCAGAGGGGGTCTTCCTGACCTAGTCGTGTGGAGTACGCAAGAGCACTGCTTCAAGGTATGTTCCTGTCTTTGGCATGAAAGCAGCATACTAGGGATATTCCCCTGAACTTAAACTGAAATACTCAGTTGATCCTAAATGGCATGGAAGTAAAAGAAAAGCTTCCATCTGTCATAGCAGGGGTCTTCAAACCTTTTGTGTATTGTGGCCCACAGGCTATTCATAGACCTGTGCACTAGCTTGGCATAACACTGTAGCAATTGCTTATATGGAAAATATTGATGTCGTCTTAGCGTGCCTTTTAATGAAGTTTATTAGTTGGAAGAGAGCCAGCACTAAATGACCAAGTAGGTCTCTGTGGATGAATGCCAAATGGTTCAGAGGCCACACATGATTGCTTTGCAGTAATTTCAATGTAGTAATGTTGAGAGGTCAGGTTGTGCTACACATACTGCTGACTATAGCTCTACTCAGACTGTGGTATGTAATCAAACGCTACTTTACTCCCATCCCACACGCAGGTCTTCAGTGAACACCCAGGCGGACAGAGGAATAAAAACCCGAGAGTGGGTAGAATGTTCATTGCTAGAGTTCTTCCCAGAGACACTGGGTAGCTGAACTTGCCCTGTTTGGCAGGGCATGTATTAAAGGAATGTACTTTACAGTGCAGGACTGTGGTGCTGTTGCTCTGGTTTGTGCACATGCAGGAGAAGTAGGCATTAGTCCTGTTGTGTGGAAATTCATACTACCTCATTATCAAGCATACTGCTCCATGCTGTGGGTACCTAATTGTTTTCTGTCAACACTGCTAATCTAGAATTTTTACTTGTAAAGATATCTGCATACACCAGTCTGGAATTATTGGGTCACCTTTGTATTGAATTTCTGTAGCCCTGAGCTTAAAAAAAAAAAAAGCTATAAAGACAGATGGATTAGTATGGATTTATGAGTTAATTTTAACGATAGCTGAAAAGGTACTGTGGGTAATAAACTCTCCCCCCAAATAATCTGCACTGCAGGTGTATGTATACTAAAGGAAAACCACTCCATCAGCGCTCCAGACTGGTGGCATATGAACAATTATATATATGTAAGTGCTGTAGCTCTGCTACACCACCTGGATTGAGTAAAGGTGACCAGCAGGGAAGTGAACACTTCTCAGTACCCTGTGTCCTCTGAAGCACATTAGCCTGGTAGTAGCTGTCTTGAAATACTTCCAATGAATCTTTCTGTGCAGATGAGTACAGGGCCCCTCTGCCTAACAAGAACTTCTGACCATAAGCTTTATTGCCAGAGTGGCAGAAGCCTTTACTCTTCCTGCTGGGATCCTCCACCAGAACTGTGTACTGAAAAGCCTTAGTTTTGTCCAGATATAACGTTAGAGCCATTTTGACTAGAGAGAGAGAGAGAAAGAGAGACAAGGTAAATGTAATTTTGTCTTGTAAGGAACCTGGTGGCTGGCTAACAGTTGTGAAAAGTAAATTGAGAGGGGGGGAGAGCTTACTGGAGTGGATTGTAAACTTTCCTTTTGCACCAAACTGGTCTTCCCAGAAGTGGTAAGGAAAGCTTTACTTGAACTAGAAGTTACTTGGTATAGTTTTAGGTTCTGTTCAGTTTACTGAGGATAGCATTTACCCACCAGTAGTAGAGCATTGCTATAGAAGATAAACCTAAAAATGCAACTAGGAGAAGCACCCCTGAGGTAGGGTAGGCAGAGGTTGGAGTAGCATAGCTGTAGCAGAAAATGATGTGTTGGGCTGCTAGGGGATAAGTTGCATGGTAACTTTAAACACGCAGATTCACCAGGAAGATTTCTTTTCTTGTAAAGGGCAAGAGAAGAGGTACTAAAAGTGGACACGGGCCAGAACCTGGCTGTGGGAGTCTTTTTTAAGTGTGGAATCACTCCAAAAACCAGCTGTCTGGGACTTTGCATGAACATACGTCTATTTTAAGTTGGTCTTCAGCTAGACGGGCCTTGTTTGTTCTGCTGGAAGCGGTTCCCTAGGAATTGTGGATTATATAAAATACTTTAACTTGGTTGTTCCGGGGACACAGGTCCCAGAGTCTGTTTCTTTGACCAGTAGGATTTTCTAGTGTAACACTTTTACCTTTAGCTATCCAGTTACTAACTGTCCTTTAACAGACAACTTATGTACAGAGGTTGATGATTAAACACTGGAAGTTAATTTTTGTAATTAATGGCCTTCCTTTAACACACATTCAAATTTTGTTTAAAAACTGCAACAGCTTCCTCTTAACAGCCATTCTTACAGTGAAAGGTACAAATGCTCTTATCCAAACAGCTGGTACTATGTGCCTAGTTGATGCTTTCAGTTACTAAACCTAAGCATAAGATTAATGTTTTTTTTTAACATTAACATTTCAGCTGGTGGAAGTTAAGGGTCCCAATGATCGCCTCTCCTACAAACAGATGATTTGGCTGGGTGAACTGAAGAAGCTGGGAGCTGCTGTAGAAGTTTGTCATGTGGCTGCAGTTGGAGCTAAAAGTAAACGCCTCAGTTGAATAGAACTGTCTAGAACATGTTGGAAGAGGAGGGGTGGTTATTTTAAAAAAATAAATAAATAGTATGAATATGTGCTAATGGTTGCCTCCTATTTTAAGCACCTGCCACTAAGGACATTAGATAAGTGTTTTTAATTAGGTCCTGACCAATGGAAATAATAGAGTTCTTAAGATGTGCTTGTTTTGGTAAAGAATGAACAGATTTTATTTACTGTAAATCAGGTCTCCAAAGTGGAAGAAGAATTCATGGTTTTCTTCTAAGTAGAACAGAGGTGACTTCGGGGATCTTAACTAAAAAAGGTAATCTGGCAGCTGTGCCTATATTTCAGCTGTCTGAGTTTCATCAAATGTGCCCCAAACTGCTATAACTCAAAAGCATGTTTTATAGGAAAAACAGGAGGAGAAGCCTTCCATCCCTCACCTCCCGGCAGTCCAACCTGTGCCCCCCCCTTCTTATTTCTGTCTGGCTCGACATACATCTACAATGCTACGTGGATGTGCAATTTCCATCTTGGGCAGATGTGCATGAGCAAATCAGCTCAAGGTCACACCTACATTACTCAGACAGCCACCTTACACCTCCATGGCTGTACTGATATTTTTAGTTTACTAAATCAAAGCTAGCTAGTAATTACACACCCCTAGATGATGTACCATGTGAGATAAATCTTTGAGTAGTAGATTAGTGGGACAATGAGCAGAGCTGAGTTAGGGTTATGATGATGATGCTTCAAGGTAGTAATGGCTCACATTAACCAGTTTTGATTTATAGACAATTACAGACTTGCTTAAAGCTGATGAGCCTGGTCACCAGGTGATAGGAGCATACAGTGAGCCCCTATCTGAGATCTAGAACAATCCCTGATATTTTTGGAAGTGATTAGAGGCACTGTTCACTGCTTATCACCTTACAGCCAGATTAAATTGACTGTAGGGTCTCACTTTGCTCAGCCAATTGAACCATTATAAGTACCAAAGTCTGCTCTTTTGGAGTTAAGTGCCATGAAGTATTCTTGCCCATGAGACCGACACCAACTGTCCTACTTCCATGCATGGAACAGTTTGAGAGTCACTAGCTAATGGGGAGAAGGGCAAGGGAGTGCAAATGTTCAGTTTACTAAGAATTAACTCCCTGAAAGGTGATTATTTCCCCCTAAAGTACCTAATGCTGTAAATAAGGGATAGGTTAAGTGGAGGCTCAGAACAGACATACAATAAGAGAATAAAATTAAGCTTTTAACAGAAGATACACTATTAATATAGAAAGTTTATACAGGGGGCTGTATAGGAGTAAACAAATGGAGATGTAATGAGTGTTGGCTATTTTATGATTGAGGATAGTATTTCTACTTATGCTATATTATTATTCCCTTAAAGAGATAAATGCTGTGGTGCCTGCATACCCAATATTGAACCAAATTTGCAGCTCGTTAGATACCTGCTGTGTGTACTGATATAATATGTAGCTATTTTCTTTAGGAAGCACAGGGAATCCACAACTCCAGAGATTATAGGGGCAAAATGGTAACAGCAAAGAAAGATCTTCCTAACGCCTCAATATTGATGGCAACAAAACAAAGTTACTTCAGACACTGTCTCTTCATCTAACCAAAGTAGGTTATTTGTGTGACCTTTTCAAACTCAAATAATGACACAACAGTCTCAAATGAAGGAAAAAAACACCAAGTGGCAACATGGGTGTGTTTGACAAGCAAAAAAAAAAGTAAGACGCAGTCACTGAGAAAATATCAAATGGGCCACACAGAACAAATGCTGCTTTGTAATCTTTCTGCAGACTCTTCCTCGTCTACTCCTGCACCATTTTTATTAAACCAGTAAAATAAACTGAGAGACAGTGGAAAGGTATGACCTTTTATTAACAGTCTAATTTACTTCACATTCACAACCTCAGTGCCAGGGTTTTGTATTCCTCCTGGCAACTACACTTTTATTCAGTAAGTCATCATTAGGCACATAGGTTTTAGTTTCAATTAAAATGTCAACTCTGTAACCTGCTGCAGCAACACCATTAGCAATCTATCACTCAATGGGATTTAGGAAACCAGTTGTTCAGTCTCTTGTTAGATGCAGATTGACGTTTTAGCCTTTTTCTTAAATAAAAAGATTAGAAATGTTTTGGTTTTAATCTATCCCTCTGAGATTAACAGCCAAAACCTTTGATCCTACTACACACACATCATTAAAAGCACAAAGGTGGTTTAATAGTCGAGTGGTATTTTACCTGCATGTTTAAAAAAATACACACACTCACTTCAGTAGGTTAATAAATTTGTAGGCATTTCTTTGGTAGATGGCAGTAATTCACTTAATGACATTGCACTACCGAGACTTCTGACCTCACCATGACCTGCAATAGCGAAAGGCATTAGAGTTGTTCTTTGACCACATCAACCAGCATATCATATCTCACTAGGTTATGTTCTTAATATTGTTTACAATCTAGCAAAACAATCATGATACAACAGCCTACTATCAACCAAAGCACTGCATGTGGTTAGAAAACAAATGATATAAAAATAAGCTCGTTTATAGTTTTTCTACTCTTATGAAACACTAATGGTATTAATAGTACCTAATTTTAAAATTGCCAACAAGACTTTAAAGAGATGTGAGCTTGTGTGTAGGGAAGATAGCTGTAGATATGTACTCAGTCCGCAGAGCTACTTGCAAGACGTAAGGGCCCTTAGGTAAGTTCAGAGCAGTCGGTATTGTCAGTAAGGCAGCTTTTTACCACGGGAAATGAATCAGTTTACATAGCTGGGCAGGTCCTGAACTATACATTATTAGGAACTGCCTTTCAACAGTACATTAAACTATTAAATATACAGGGTAAAACAAATACATAGGAATGATTAAGTACTCAGAATCAGGCCCTAAGGATGCAACAAAACAGATTTTTAGAGTAACCTGGATACCAGTAACACACCACTTGTGCTTGCTTAGCCCCCAAATTCTGAAAACTGTTCTGTTTGGTAAATAGATATTTAGGCAGTTTTTTTAAAGGCATAATATTTACCAACAAGAATATCTGTAGCATGTAAAATACAGATTATTGTATGAACTGAAAATACAAGCTAGAAATCCTTACACAGGTAGTTCTTGTACTCTTTTTTCAAAGATTAACATCCCATGTATTAACAAACACTGTGTACTTATTAAAGTAATTTACTCCCCAAACTTTGGTAATTCTAAAATGGACTCTTATGAGCATTAACTGTTTTAGGAAATCTATTTTACTGCTCATACCATAAAAACTGTCCAAGTGGTTTATTTATTTTACTTTTTGGTACCAAAAATCAGCACACAGGTTGAGGTCTTGTATACCAAGTATCAGGCCCAGGAAAGCTTTGCCCAAGATAACAGAAAAGCCAACCTGTTGTTCCAACAGACTTCTGAGTAATTTTTCCTTATTCTAGTACCTCTCAGCTATTTTGAGGAAGACTTTGCAGGAACCAGATCTTCTTGGGGGAAAAAAAAAATTTAATACTGTGGCACATTGATTGATCTGCTCAGCTTCAAGTAATGTTTCTTCAACCAAAGAAATGGGAAAATTCCTAACCGGCCCTTTCCTGCTGCAAAACAAGGGTATTTTGAAAAATCTCTTTGATTTCTCATTATCTTTAAAACTGAAAAAACCTTCACAGCAATAATTTAAAAAAAAGAAGGGGGGGGGGGGGGTTGTGTGAGGAAGCCAAAAGAATCCATCCCCTAACTCTTTGGTAGTTAGGTCAGTTGTGTCAAGGGAAAAAAACTGGACTTTCCCAGCACAACTTCCACTCCTGTAAATGGACACATAAGAAACAAAGTAGTTCTAGGAGTGGTAGAATAAGATTCTTTATTTTCTGGGACTGACAGGAAATCAGTCTTGTTTTAGGCTAGAGAGAACTTCCCTGCTAATTTGCATATTGTCATTCCACTGTTCAGAAGGCTAAATGAAAATGGCTTTTTGGTGATTTCCAGAGTTTGTTTTATGAATCAGAATATGGAAATTATGTTTACATTAGTGGGCAGGTCATTAACATATTGAAAAAAAATGTTTCATGGTGCATGAGACACATCTTACTAATATTTCATTCCAATTAAAGGCACTTCTAAGGCTACAATAACATTCTCTACAGTGAACATGTTAAGGTTAACAGTGCATATTGTCCTGAAGTCAGTTCCTGTGAACTAAAGGCAAGCTCATGACATTGAACAACAATTTGAATAGTCTCTCTAATGGGTAACTGAAAACAAAAATCAGTACACACTGCACCAGTGCAACATTCACTCAGTAAATCAAGTCACAGCAAGATAGTATGGAAGCATATAAATGTGTCCTTACTAAACCTATTCTGTGACAAAGTAGTTTGTTCCCAGACTTCTACAATGGCCAGTCAATATGTCTACATTAATGCTAAATGTCTTTGATGTTTGTTTTCACCAATCTGATTTGCTAATCTGTGTTGACATAAGATTAGCTTCAGTCAACCGTTGGGAAAACAGACATAGCAAACAAAAAGAAAACCTGATTAGTGACCACACCGAACCTTTGCATTAGTGAGTGAAATCGCTGCATCTTACATAATGAGCCAGACCTAGAAAACACAGAAGAAATTGTCAGAAACCAGACAAGAAGTTTACATGACACCTACTGAAAATAAAATTGTGCGATTTGAAGCATGATTTGCTTTGCTTTTAAATATTTGTGCAAAACTTATGTAATATTTGTAAATAAAATTATTACAGCTTCAGATACCGCAGTTAGCAGTGTTAACTTAAAAGAAGACACAGTGGTCTGCCATTTCCGCCCAAATGTTTAAGCATCACAATATCTTAGTCCTCATTTGCAAGTGTCTCAGTGGACAGCCAGATTTTGGCACCACTTAAAAATTTACTTAATGGTGTTCCCAGAATGCTCCGTCTGCATAGGTTCCCTACTGGAGAAAATGGGAATGAGGAGGAGAGAAAATCTGGGGTCCCAGCAGTGTCATTTAAACCATTTGCTCTGAAGTACATCCTGCTTTGATCCAGTTCTGAACAGTTCACTTGCAAAGAAGAGCTGCTTTTG